CAGTGCAGGACTCAAGACTCCTGGGTTAGCCAAGGGAGAGCAGGCCCTGCAGCCATATCCAGAATCTCTCCTGCTCTCTGGAGCACACCATGCAAGGCACAAGCTCTCCTCTCCTCTTCCCTTTGCTCAGGCTCCCCACAACCCATCACTGATCAAGAGGCTGCCCCCCTTCCTCAACATCCTGTGTGAGGCCAGTGTGTGGCTTTGGCCTCCTGTTTGGCGGATGTGAGAACGCCCCTGCACCTCCTGCTGATGGGAGGGGCAGGGCAGGGCTCTGAGCCCCTGGGGCAGCTGCTGACCCCTCTGGTTTGGGTTAGTGCCAACTCAAATGCCCATGGCTGCAAGGGCCAGTTTTGCCCTGGGAAACCCAGTCTCCCAGAGGTACCAGGCAGGCCCCTGACAAGCAGACTAGCAAGCAAACCTCGAATAAAGGACACCTCTATGGGGATGACCTGGGGGAACAGACAGGAACAGGGCAGGGAATTATTGTTACTGTTGATGTTAGATTATAAAAGGGACTGTAAGTTAACTATGGCCAGGTGCTTCTTTGAGCACTTCACACTCGTCATCTCATTTGGTTCTCGTAACAATTACTTAGAAATAACCAATTCAGGGCAGTAGTGAGCACCAAACAGTAAAAGTCCAAGTTCCAGTTTGCACTCCAACCTGCCTGACTCAAGAATCCTCTGCTCATTTCCGGTCACTCTCCTAGGACACAGGGACTGGCCAATAGTAAGCTGGATGGCACACTCTGGGTCAGCCTCCAATCCCACTGTTGTCCATCCTATGGAGCCAGAGCCCTGTCCCAAAACCCTAAGGGAGGGGTCCAGACTTCTTCTGAAGTGTTCCCTCTAGGTATTCCCCTTGGGCCTGTACAGGGAACAGGAAGCCTGAATGTGAGTATCCTTGCATCCCCACTGTGGGGTTTTTGCCCCCTTCTGCCATCCAATAGTGGACTCTCCAAGTACATGAGTAATAGAATGTGGCCAAGTAAAGGAAAAGCAAAACATTCTGGGGAGAAGATGGACATTCTCACTGGGGTTGGGGTGGGGAGACCACCTGGCCCTAATCAAGCCCCATCCTAGGGCCTCTTACCTGCCCTGAAACTAGAACTGTCCCAAGGAGCTGCCAGAAAATGTCAGTTGCAAGAGGAAGGGACTGAGTTTCACCCACAGTTGTGTTCCCAGTGCCACATGGGAGGCACTGAAATTATATTTCTGAACTCTCTTGCTTCCTTTGAGTCTTTGCTCAAATGTCCTCTTCTTGCCAAAGCCTACCTGACCATCTTTTAAAGCTGCAACCCCACCACAATGGGGGCGGGGTCCTTTTACTTCACAGCTTACATCACCTGCTAATGCATTATTTATTCTTACATTTATTTTCTGTCACCCATGCTCTCTATCCTTTAGAAAGTTCCATGATGACAGAAACTTTTGCTTTGTTTAAGGATTATGTTCAGAATCTAGAACCATGCCAGGTGCACAGGAAGCACTGATAAGGACCTGTTAGATCAATGATGGACCATCTGGAGCATACAGGGATTAAGTAGGCAGTCTTCTCTAATCACTGACCCTGAAGAATGCTGAGGTGAGTCCTGCAGGGACTCAGGGAACTTCTCAACCCTGTTGTCAATTCCTGGGCCAAGGCCAGAGCCATGTGGGCCTCATTTGTGGCATCCTGCTAGGGATAGTCTTATGGGTCCTGCCTCAGACCAAGCCTCTAGGACATGTAGCTCCTTGGCAAGGAGAATCCCATAATATTACTATTAAATAAAATGTTATTTACTAGAGTCAAATAGATCCATGCCCAGATGTCCCTTTCATCAAACTCTGGGAACACTGAGTCAGGTGCCTTAAGAGAAGGCTCTGGTCTCTGCTGAATTCCTGAAGGGTAGAGTCAGGTTCCTCCCAGCTCCCTTGTCCCCACGCCCAGAGGAGCCTCTCCTAGTTCAAGAATTCATCGTAGTTCCTGAGAAGGGGAAGGAGTAGAGTGACTCTTCAAAGGACCAGTTTCCTCTGAGGTAGGGCAGAGAGAGGCCATCCCAGAGGAGCCTGGGCATGGCCACAGAACACAGCCAGATAGTCTCCCTGGCATCCCTAGGGAGCCATGGCTGGGGAGGGCCAAGTAGAACTGGTGGCCCTACTGGAGAACACCCATATTCTGTTCTGGACCCTGTTTTTGCCTGCAAACTTGGGCCTGGGTAAGGAAAACGAAGTTGCAAGAAGACCTGGCATGCCTCAGTCCAGGAGTTTCTGTGATAGTGATATCGCCCAGTGAGATAAGCAGACCTCTCAGAGCACAGGGCTGAGGATACCTGAGTCCAGGATGCCAAAGCCGCTCTAAGCAGCCAACCTGGAGAGATGTCAGCCTCACCCTCACTGGCTGCCACCCCAGCCCCCAGCTCAGGTGTCTCAACAGCCTCTCCTTATCACCTGGAAAGACCAGGAATTAGCTTTCCCACACTGCCCCTGAAGGCTCTTGTAAGGGTGCTCAGGGTCTCCCACAGGATAGTAAAGGGTCCAAACTTTCCAGTTCCACCACCACTTTCTCTCCCAGAAGGAGTGTGGGGGAAGGGGAACAGGTAGACCTAGCAGGAGAGGAAGTCCCCCTCCCGCCGCCCCCCCACATCAAGTGAGGTTGAAAGGGGGCACTATGGAATTCCCAGGCAATCTCCTTAAGCACAAGAGAGCAGCACAGGAATGTGCTCCCTGCCCCATCCCCCAACAGGGTATAGCGCAGACAGGGCGAGCTCTCATGGCCAGGATGGAGAGCAGAGATTAGATTCTGAACTCAGGAGAGGCCCCCCACTGGCATCTGTCTGATCAACCCTCACTCCTGGCTCTCCTAAGGAGCAAGGGATGTATCAAAGGCCAAGGGAACAGGATGTCAGGTTAGGAGAGGCCACTGCCCAGGAGCATTCTCAACTTAAAGAGTTCTGACCTCCAGAGAAGTTAAAAGATCACAAAATCAAGACCTTTTGGCCAATTTCCCAGCCAAGGAGCAAATTCCCTCAGGCCATCAGGTACTTTCAAAAGGCCCAGGTGCCCACCAAAGGAGTGACTGGCACTTTTTACCCTTCCTGAGGAAGCTAATAAGTTTCCTGTCCTTGGGCACCAGCTTTGCACCAGGCCAATGTGGTCATGATGTTTTCACTTTCTTCAGCAACATCTGGTAAAACAAGGCTAATATGGGCCAGTGACAGACCTAAGGTTGCAGGAATCCAGCGAAGCATGAGTCAAAGCCACCTGATGTCTGGGAAGACACTAAAAATTTTAAGGAATATTTGAGGAAAATACAGTCTAATCTTTTTTTTTTTTTTTTTTTTTTTTTTGCAGTACTGGAGTTTGAACTTGGGGCCTACACCTTGAGCCACTCCACCAGTCCTTTTTTGTTTTTTCAAGATAGGGTCTCAAGCACTATTTGCCCAGGCTGGTTTCGAACCGAGATCCTCCTGATCTCTGCCTCCTGAGTAGCTACAGTTACACCACCAGTGCCGGCTACTTTCCCTATTCTAAAATCATTCCTTTTTCCCCACCATGAACTCCTTTTCCCTTTTCTATTTTTAAATGAACAGGGGTCACCTGGCATTGTGGGCAGCCTTTTCTTCATTTAATGTCGTTGTCTATTAAAAACTTAAGTGTGCAAAACATTGAGTTTGAACCCTAGCACCACCAAAAAAACCTAAGTATTATTTTAATACTAAGAATTATTTTAAAACTTTCCTCTCCCAGGAGAGAAAAGTGTACTAATCTGCTACCAAAGGGGACACTCCACTGCCTCAAGGAAGAGTACGAATGCCAAATGATCCTGAATCCCAGAAACCTTCTCCAGGAACTAACCAGGAACTGGACCAGGTTAACTTCAGAGAAAGGAAGAGCTCTGGTCAGAGCTCCAAGAGCTGGGTTTGGAACCTAACTGCCCCAAGCCAGCTCTGTGGGCAGATGACTTAAGAAAACTAAACCCAAATACCCTGTCCATAAAATAAAGATGTTGAACAATCTCACCAGTGACCCTTCCTGTATCACCAGCTCACAAAGACTAGACCATCTTCCTCCTCTTCTTGCTCCTCTGCAGCAGCCCTCCTCTTCCCACCTGCGCTTCCCTAACACACCCATCCCTCCCTGCTCGGAATGCCCTCTGAACTACAAACTCTTGCAGAGGGTCCCTAGTGCCAAGTTAAGGCAGCCTGCAACAGACATATGGATCTCCATGGGAAGGGACGCTGAGTGTAAGCCCCGCCCAAAGCTCACCTGTCTCGAGTGAGATCCTCTACCGACCACAGGGCAGCTACCCCGGTTACAGTCAGACCCAAGGCCCAACGTGTCCAACTGTCCAACCGAAGCAAACCAAAGCACGCTTTCTTTGGCAAGAATTTCTCACTCCTTGCCAAGTCCCACGGTGCAACCCCCACCAGTCAGCGTGGAGAACAGACTAGGTCTTAGTACCGTCGCCTAAAGGTGTCCAAAGCCGCCCCAGCTAGGGAAGAGGCCCCAAGACCGAAGTCCCTCCCGCGGGCTTTCTTCATCGGAGGATTAAGAGGCACAAAGGGACTCAGGGAAAGAGCCCAGATGGCAGAGGCAGGGACTAAGCCGCCAAGGTAAAGCGCACTGGCCGCCGCTCCTGGAGACCGGATCACGGGAAACCCGCATCCTGGGCCTCCCAGGCCGGGAGCCTCGCACGCGGACCCGGGGATTCCGTCTGGGCTCGCGGTGTCCCCCGCACCTCGCCCGGCCGAGCACCTGTTCCCCGGCTCAGGAAAGCTAACACTATTGTGCAAACCCAAACCCTAAGTTTGGTAATAGGGGGCGGATCTGGCAGAAGTTCCCGGCGGCACTTTCTACAGGTGTCTTTTCTCCCAAACGACGGGGACAAGGGTGAGGCGGGCGGACCCGGGCGCAACCCTTTCCTCCCCGCCCGGAAAGCCCAGGGGTCTCGGCCCTCCCGCTCCAACCAGCCCCAAGTGTCGGGCAGGGCTAGGTGGGTCGCGGACGGCGCCTCACCTGGAACCCCGGGTTAACTCCTGCCCGAGGCCTCGGCGTCCGTCCCTCGGTGCCCGGCCGGCTCCTCTCGTTCGGCCCCGCCGGCCCACGGGCTGCTAGGCGGCAGCCTCCTTCCTGCTCACCTCCGGCGCGGCGAGCTGGGGGCGGAGTCGCTGCTATTTACATAAAGGGCGAGCCCGGCGGCGCCCACAGAACTCCGAGCGCCGGGCCCCAGCGGCCCGCCCCCGGCCTGACCCCGCCCCCCAGCCCTGCGCCGACGGGGCGGGGGCGCAGCGAGGGCGCCCTCGAGGGTGGGGGTCACTTCCCGGCCAATCCGCGGCCCCAGGAGCGCGGAGCAGGGCCGCGGCCCGCGTGAATATTCATAAGGCGCAGCTGGTCCGGCGCCCGCCCCCCGCCCTCGGCCTCACCTGCGCACACCTGATGCAGGACTGCGCGCCGCGCCCAGTGTCCCGCCGCCCACGGAGGAGGAAATAGTTCCCGGAACGCGTGGCACTTCCCGACTGCCTCCCAGGCCGGACTCTGTCCCTCCCACGACTCGCCAGGAGCTGTAGAAGGAGGAGCATAGCCTGGCCAGCACCTCCTGAGAGCGCTCAGCAGGAAGAGGGTGATCAGCTGACGCTGGGCCAGGTTTGGGGACCCACGAGTAGGGTGGTATATAGAGAGGCGTCTTCTCTCCTGGCCGGCCCTCTCCTCTGAGTCTACTGCAGAGGCAGGCTGAGTCCGGAGGCCCCCAAGGAACAGCAACAGCGGTGGGAGTTTTGAGCTTAAGCGAGAGAGGGGGTCGGAGTGAGAGACAGGAGCAGAAGGGGCGTGGAGTCCTAGAGCTGATGAGAACTGGGTACTCCATTGCACAGCTGCCGGGGTTCAGTCCACACCAACATATGCCGCTTGGCTACCCTTCTACCCCTACACAGCAGCGATTCAGGGGAAGACTGATTGGGTACTGGCCTCCCTCCTCCGAGTACCTTTCAAAAGCCCTGAGACTAGCCATCTTCTCCGAGGCGAACCTGGCCCTCCTGTGAGCTCTTAAGTTCTACACCTGGGAGAGGTGGCTCTCCCTGAGTGAAAGCAGGGGTGAGGGGATGAGGGTTGTCCAATATATTCCAGCCACAGCAGGATTAAAAAAAAAAAAAGATTTTTTAATGGCGTTGGCTTTTTATGGCATGAAGCAGGCACCCTCGTTGAAAGGCACAGAGTCCGCTCTTTTGCCCCACCTCCTGGGCCTCTGAAATTGAGTCCTGAGTTCCAAGGGGGTCACTGCAAGGCAGCGCTCAGGTGTGGGGCTTGAAAGCGCAGCAGAGGCCAGGTAAGTAGAGGCACAGGTCAGGGTTTCATTTTTCTGCAAGCATCGGATGCCCAGGGCCAAGGCCCACAGAGACCACTATTGCTCCATGTAAGTTTAGTACAGGAGGCAGCTGACACGGTCCCTGAGAACACAGTCCAGGTGCCCCAGAGCAGGTTGCAGCTTCCCTCCTACACCCCCTCCCCAACCCCAGCTGTGTGGTCAGTGTTCCAGATCGCTGGGCAGCGTGAAGTCCCTGAAGCTATAGAAGGAGATGTCACCGTGATCCACCAGGGCAAAGATCAGAGGGACATCCCCACTCTGGTAGGACAACCGCTTGAGGCTGCAGAGGTCTGGGACAGGTTCATCAAATCTGTAGGAATAAGAGTTAGATTGAGACCTGGCCAGAGCCCACCTATAAGCCCTAAGACCCCAGTCCCTCTGGTGCTCCCGGGGAAGGGCAATCATAAGACAAGAGTTGGGTGCCAGATTTCTGACCCTTGGACTCTCTTGTCTGTAAAGTCCATAGCTCTGATCAGCTCTCCAAGAGTGCTCCAGAGCCCTGGTTGAATAGGGAGCAAGGAATAAAGGGGTTCTCACCATTAAAAACCTGTAACTCTCTCCCACCCGTACTCCTCCTGCTGGGTGAGCCCAGGACTAAAGTGGCATTAGGAGAGAGACTACCCCAAAAGGCCAGCGACAAGGAGACAAGGGTTGGGAAATGGGTTCCTACAGCACTAACTGGCTGTGTGTCCTTGTGAAGGTCATTTAACCTCTCTGGACCTCAGATTCTCAGGGATTGGCAAACTGGACACAGGGATGGAGAGAAAGTCTACATAGTCCACAGGAAAACATCTCATACCCACTAACGCACATCCGGGCATAGGGTTTGCCAGGGTTGTTCTTTCGGAATGTGGCCACAGCATCAGCCTGGTAAACATCAAAGCTGATCTCTAAGCCTCTGGGCTTCTTCAGCAGTCTGAGGAGAGTGAGACCTTGGCATAAGAACTCTCCTCTCCCACCTTTCCTTTTTATTACACCCTTTCCCATCACCAGCTCAAGGAAGCAGTCTTTCCCAGGGGGATCTGAGGCTGTGAGATACTACTTAAAGAGGGGAGGGACTCTGAACTTTGGGATAAACCAGCCTGTCTGCCATTCCTCCCTCCCCCCTAGACATACATGAACAGTAGCTGTGGCTGGGAGCTAGGGATGTGGGTAGAGGTCCCTGGAGCAATCTCTAGCTCACACCCAACTTAAGGAACCAAGTCCCAGCTGTCACGGCACCTGGCCTCCACAGTATCATGGAAAAGGGCACAGCTTGGAAACTTACTGGGCACCTCCATCTGCAAGGTGTGTTGTCTGCAGCACGGAGATATGCTGAAGAACCATGGCTACAAGGACAGTGAAAACAAAGTGTTGGTGAGGGGAGCTGACCTTTGAAATATGCCTTTGACATTGCCAAATCTACCTAGTTTAGGGTTGCCAGCTTCACCAAAATTATTTTAGTGTAAGTATGTCCCATACAATATTTGGAACACTTACACTAAAAATTAGTTGTCTTAATCTAATATTCACATCCATCCAATCTGGCAACCCTAATCTAGTTAGTTACAATTATGTTCCCACGATAATTCTAAGTAGATCTGAATCCATTATGACATTTCACTAAGGCCATTCTTGCCCTATTAGTTAAAACCTCAAGAGCAAGCTGCTCACACCTGTAATCCTAGCTACTCAGGAGGCAGAGATCAGGAGGATGGCAGTCCGAAGCCAGCCCAGACAAGTTGTTCACGAGACTATCTTGAAAAAAACGCTGGTGGAGTGGCTCAAGTGTTAAGAGCACCTGCCTCACAAGCATGAGGTCCTGAGTTCAAACCCAGTGTTCCCCCCTCCCCCCCAAAAACAAAACAAAACAAAAAGAGCAGACAATGAGCCTTCCTCTTATTGACCAAGAGGGCATCTCTAACTAGCAGTCTTGGAAGGAGAGGAGCCCACAGCTACTTGGTGGCAAAGCCATTCCCGTTATCTTGGTTATGGTTTTAAGGATACAGGTGTAATTTCCACTCTGTTGGTTTTCCCTGGGCACTGACTCACCATGGCTAAAACTTCCCCTGTGGGCTTTGCTACTGCTGCTGCCACTACCCACAGAACTGTCTTTGTGGGTTCCACTCCACTGGACAGCTCTCCTCCTACAGCTTTGGCCTCAACTTGCCCTGTCAATCCACACCCCTTTCAAAGTCTTGTGATTCTGCAGCTGTCAGTGGCCTGCAGAACTATGGCCAGGTGAAGAGATACCTGGAGAGTTTGCCTGGCTCGGGCTCAGCAAGGGGGTGACGGGCTGGCTCCACAGGTGTGGGGGGCAGCTAGGGCTCTTTTGCAGGTGTCGTCTCTGCAGCAGCTCCTTGTACTCACGCCAGCTAGAGCAACGCTGCACCTCGGGGTCTGCATTTAGGTCCTCCCGGAATTGCTGGGCCTCTGCTTGGTGTTCCCTGTCTCTTCGGGAGAGCTTCTCCTTCCGCTGGTTCAGCTTCTGGCACCAGGACTCAGCATCTATCTCCCGCCCAGTGATATTGGCGGGGAGCAGCTCTGGGGCTGGGGCAGGCAGGAAGGTGTGGCGGCTATCTGAAGCCATGTTGGGGAACGAGATCTGCTCAAAGTTCCAGCGTGGCTTACAAGCCCCCTTAACTCCGTTCTCTACTTTGTCACTTTCCTGACTACATACTACACCCTTTCTAGGCAGACTAGGGCAGGGATCCAGGGACTCCAGAGGCTGAAAGGGGCCTCCTGGGCCTTTCCTGGGGCTTGACTCCTGATATTTCTCCTCTGGACATTGGTTGTTCTGGTCACAGGCAGGTGGGCTGGAAGGCACCAGGCTCCAGGGTGGCAGGGAGTTCTCCGGAGCCTTGGCCTTCTTATTAACAGACCTAGGGGATGTGGGAAGAAAAGCGGCACATCTGCTCCTTATCGCTGAGGCTTACATGTCCTACTCAGCTGAGGACAGGGTCCCTGCTGTGTCCCTGAGCCTGTGCTCATGCAGAGGCCCAAGCCCACCTCTTAATTCGAGGCACTCCCTGGCAGTGACCACAACAGGGGACATACCTAGAGCTGGCACTCCTCTTCCTCTTGCCAGTCCTATCATCTAGGCGCTGGGCGCAGCCATCCAAGTTCAGCAGCCTCTCGTAAGGAGACAGGATAGAGCTGTGGGGTGAGAACAGCAGGCGGGCAACAGATCCACCTCTTCAGACTGCTGCTCCTGGCGGAATTTGTGAGGGACTGGCCAAGAGGACAAGTCAGGGGCCAGGGTTAGAGCTACACCCAAGGGCTAAGGCTCTGATCAGACCTGCATGAAGGGCACAGGGGGCAGCCAGCAGGGTCTAGTCGTGTGCCTTTGTTCAGTGGTCAATGGCATAAACCAACAATGCATGATTAGTCAGAGCACTTGCCTGACCCTACCTGCAAGACCCTGGGTTCAATCCCCAGTGCCACAAAAAATATATATAAATGATTAATCACTGTTGAGAAAAACCAAGAGCAACTGGAAGACTTGGGAAATGCAAAAAAAAAAAAAAAAAAAGATGAAAATAAAAATCTTGGATAACCACTGGTAATATTTTTGTTTCTTATATATACATACTGACTAATCTTCCTCCCTCCGTCCGTCCCTTCCTTCCCTCCTTTTCTTTGTTTCTTTTTGGGCAGTACTGGGGATTGAACTCAGGGCTTCATGCTTGCAAAGCAGGTGACAAAAATGGCATTGTGTCTGAAGTGGTGGAGCATCTGCCTATCAATCGGGAGGCCCTGAGTTCAAACCTCAGTACCACCAAAAAAAGGCATTGCTTTATCATGTTTGTTTTTGTTGTTGTTTTTTAAGTTTTAGCAAAGATTTATTTTGGTGTAACAGGACAAAGTAGGAAGAAGTGGGGGAAGAGGGGCAGAAACAGTTCCTCCTTTCTACACAGGAAATGGGAATAAAAGGCTCATGTCTGTTTGTTTTTTGAGATAGGATCTTGCTGTATACATGCTGTCCTGGAACTTGCTATGTAGCCCGGGCTGTCTTTAAACTTGCAACCCTCCTGCCTCTGCCTCCTGAGTGCTGGGATTATAGGCATGTATCACTATGCCCAACCTTTAACCTTTCCTTTTTGTTACTTATATATTGTGGGCTCCCAGCCCCTTATCACTATAGCATTCTTCCTGCCATGAGTTTTTTAATGACTTCTAATGCTGCACTCTTCAACACCCTAGACACTAGCCACAGTGTCTCTCAAGTTAAAGTTAAATGAAATGACAAATTTAGTGGCACTGTTACACACATCACAAATGTTGGACAGCATAGACACAGGACGTTTTCATCACTACAGAACGTTCTACGAGACAGCATTACTCTAAGGGATAAACTCAAGATTTTCCTTTTTTTTTTTTGAGACAGGGTCTGGCTTTGTAGTTCAGGCTGGCCTCAAATTCATGATCCTTCTGCCTCAGCCTTCCAAGTGCTGATATTACAGGTGTGCACAACTAAGCTCAGCTGATAAACCCTAGTTTGCTAAGTTCTTAGGCTGTTTCCAAGCATGTTGATTTGCAAAGTGACAGTGTGTGTGTATGCTCACTAAAAAATGCAAGCAGTGTGTAGGCAGCAATTTGGCTCAGCTGTTTCTCAGCAATGATTTGCAGGGCCTGACACCGGCAAGTGGTCAATGATAGGCCAAATGCACATTCCCAGGTGGGAACCTAGGACAGATTCCATGGCTCAAAAAATAAAGGACATGACCATTTTAGAGCTTTGGAGGTACACCATGTAACTGCAAAAGCTGTAGCAGCTTCTGTGGTTCTCAACAATGTGGGGTTACTAAAGTGATGAAGGAAGGCTATCTAATATAGCATAAGAAATGTGAGACCTGCCGGGCACCAGTGGCTCACGCCTGTAATCCTAGCTACTTGGGAGGCAGAGATCAGGAGGATCGAAGTTCAAAGCCAGCCTGGGAAGATAGTTTGTGAGACCCTATCTTGAAAATTCTCAACACACACACACACACAAAAGGGCTGCAGAGTGGCTCAAGTGGTAGAACATCTGCCTAGCAAATGTGTGTGTGTGGTAGGTGGGGGAGTGAAACTGGGCTGCAGCACCTGCCTAACAAGTGTGAAGCCCTGAGTTCAAGCTCCAGTACTGCAAAAAAAATGTGAAAACTGACTCAAGGATAAGTTCCTCACTCAGTCCCTCATTCATGCATGCATTCCACAGATCTGCCTGCACAATTGCTAAGTGCCAGGTGCTGTTGCAATACTGCAGGTGCTCAGTCCTTATTTAAAGATGGGTGTCAATTTGAGATCCCAGGAGTAAGTGCAACAATGGAATTTGTTCCCACATTCCTCTCAGCACTTCCAGCTCAGGCCTGGCCCATATCTAGGGAGCTGCACTCCAGCCAAAGGTTCCAGGTAAGCTGAAGCCACTGTCCACCTGGGACTAGTCAGCCAGGTCCCAGGATTAGAATGAATGTAAGGAAAAGAGAATGGGACTTACCTTGGTTGAAATCGTCGAACCACATAGCCCAGTCTCTTCAGGTGGCTGAAGACCTCAAGAGAAGGGGAAAAATGTTAAGCTCAATGTTAAAAACAGCTAAGACCGGCACTGGTGGCTCACACCTGCAATCCTAGCTACTCAGGAGGCAGAGAACAGGAGAATCATAGTTTGAAGTCAATCCAGACAAATAGTTCGTGAGACCCTATCTTGAAAAAACACCCATCACTAAAAGGGCTGGTGGAGTGAGTTCAAAACCCCAGTACTACAAAAAAAAAAAAAAAAAAAAAAAAAAAAAAACAACCAAACCACCATCCAGTAGTTTCTCCAGACGTAAGTCATTCTCTACATCCCCTCCTAGCTCATGCCCTAATCACAGGCAGAATTCCTGGATTTTGACATCCAATCTATTGGCAAAGTCCTGTCCATTCTTTCTCTAAAACATTTCTCAAATTCACAAATTTCTTTTCAGTCAATGACACCCTAGACTGGCCTTGACTTCTTGATCCTCCTGACTCAGTCTCCTGAGAGCTGGAATTACAGGCATGTACCACCATACCCCACACTTGCTTTTTATTGTCTAGTTGCCACCATTAGAAGGTAAGCCTTGTGACAGCACAGCATTTGTCTATCTTGTAGCCCCAGCATGTGACACTGTTCAGCTCACAGGTACTTGTCACTACTCATTCACTCAACAAATGGGTAGTCTCCCTGGGGGGAGGAGGGGAAGCAGATACCTGGTACTGCAGAAAAGTCAAGCTGTCATCTGTCAGCAGCAACTGGTAGGCCTCTTGGATAGACAGCGGCAAGTCTTGGTGGAAGAGGTGAATAGAGCCCTGGAAGTGGGCCCAACTGCTCAGCTGTGCACTGTTTCTGCAGTGCCACAGCCAAATGGGGCAATTTCCTGGTTCTGGCATCCCACCACCTCCCAGCATCACAGTAAGAATATGGTCAACCGGAAAAGGGGAGCAGCAGCCTAATTTGGACTTCCTGCTCTCTGCATATATTCGTCTCCTGCTCTAGAAGTTCCAATGTAAGTTCATGGAAAACGTAGTTGTATATGCTTTTTGTCCAATAAAAACGTGTCTTTTCCATTCCTTAGTCCCTTAGTCCCAAACTCTTCTTTACCCTCCCAGGGCCCCACTCACACACTCCAGCAGATACAAAGCCTCTTCGGGGTGAAGCCGCTGCCGGCCCTGCTCTGAGAAGCCCATGGTCTGCCAGAATTTACCCTGTGTGAGACCCACAGGCAAGTGTCACAAAGGAGTTAAGAGGACAGAGAAGACGGGTCCCCTGTCCCAGATGCTCACCGCAGGAGACTTCAACTCCACAAAGCCCTCTTCCGGTCTCCACTCGGCGGACACCAAGCTGCCCCTGGCGAGGAGTGGGAAGAGGCTGGGGTCGGTCTCGGTCTACCGGGGCAGTGGGCCGGGTCCCTCAGTCCCCCATCCCGCCCGGCTTACAGGCGCTCCACGCGCTCCTCGGCCAGCAGCTGCCAGAGCTCTTGGCGACACAGGCGCAGCCGCTCGGCCTGGGCCGCCGAGCCGTCGGGGAGGAAGTCCTTGGGGCCATGCGATCGCTGGGGCAGCTTTTGAGACCGCGATCGCGCGGCAAGGAGCTCGGGGGCACTGGGGAAGAAAGGGAACACAGGATCGGCACTCGCGCATCACGGCCACCCTGCTTAGATTCTGCCCACGCTCACCCGACGCCCCACAACCGGCCCCTGGTTCCCGCCGCACCTGAGCACGCGCCCAGCGGGAACCTCCACGGTCCCGGGGTCCGGTTCGGGCTCCATCTGGCCTCCGTCTGCGGCTGCGCGCGCGCTGCCTATGCCCCGCCCACCGCCGGAGCCCTTCGCGGTCCTAGAGCCTACGGGTGCGACCTCCGCTCCAGTCTCTCTTGGGTCCTAGCGCCTGCCTACACATGTGTGCTTCGATTCCCGGTGTTGAGTTCGGTTTGCAGGTTTCTGGATGTGTACAAACTCTCTTATCCTTGTTCCTAGCCCTTCTCGGGGATCCTCTCCAGTCAAATTTTTTCTTTGTTCTTGGAGATACTGGAGTTTGAACTCAGGACCTCACGCTTGCTAGGCATGCGGTCTACCACTGAAGCCATTCCCCCAGCCCATCAGCCCATCAGCCCAACCTGATCTGGCATCTAGTAGCGTAGCATGAAAAGTCAAGTGTGCAATCGCCTTCCCCGCAACCCTGGGTTGCCTAGTCCCCAGGAACTAAAGGGAAAAATGGGGAAGAGGGACTCAGAGAAGGGAGAGCGGTTAAGTTTCCGAATTTCAGCTTTGCAAACTGGAAGCCACCGGAGTCTCAGGAACAATCCAGAGAGGTTCGGAGTTCCTTCAGGTTCTGCTGTTTTTTCCCTTCCGAGGGGCTCCGAAGCCGGTCCTAGGGTGGGAGGCGCTGTCCGGCCCACGTTGGTGCTGAAGCGCCACCCCATCCTCCAATAGCACCTCCTCGAGGCTGGGGTCCCCGCGCGGCACCTTGCGTTGCTCCCGCACTGTCCACGAGGTGGCACCATTGCTCCGGCCAGCTGCTTTGGGTCGGTTGTGGGTGACTCTGGTTGTGGATGGAGGTCTGCGGGAGTCCGGGGAGGCACAGGGCGCAAAAAGGAAGGGGACTCCCCAAGTAGGGTCCTTGGGTCTCGGCGGCCAAAACCCTTCATATCACGTCTTATGTCCCACTCAGTCATAACTATGGTAGCTTGTCTTTCGAAGTATCCCAGATTACCCAACTTCCACAACCCGGACACAGCGGTGCGAACCCGCTCAACTGCCCCCCCCCCCGCCCAGCACCACCCTGCGCGCTCATTTTCACCTGCGCGCATGCGCTGATCCGTCCAGTGGCCCAGGTCCCTACTACTGCTGATGGGGGCGGGGTCTGGCGCGGATGGGGGCGGGATCCAGGACTCTGATTGACAGCCCGACTGCGCGGCCGGGACTGTGCCTCGCGCCCGATCCGGAGGGAGGGAGGGGGGAGGGGCGGGATTTCCTGCGGGAGGCGCAGAGCCGGCCTTGGAAAAGGAGGAGAAGGAGGAGAAAGGGGTGGGGTGGGGGGGCAGTGGGAGCCAGCGTCCAGAGTGCCAGGGACCGAGCAGGGTCAGCCGGACCCCTGGCGGGGTGACCGGGAAAGGTGAGACTGCCGGGCTTGAGCTGGGGGTCAGCACCTTTGGGGGCAGGCATAAACTAACTTTTCTTGTGGGATCTGCGGGCGCCCCCATCTCTCCGCTCCTTCCGTCCTTTTCGCGCCCCCTTTCTCGTCCTCTCCCATCTATCCCTCCGGCTCTTGGCCCTCCCTACCCATCCCGCTGCTTTGTTCCCGGGGTCGGCCCGGGCTGGGCTCGGCTGGGGGGATTGCGCGGCGGTGGAGGGGCATTCCGAGGGGCGGGGGAGTCAGCCGACCCCAGGCACTGCCAGGGGTACCCACCCCCTTGTGTGGGCCGTGGGCCATGAGGGGGAGTGCCCTCTGGGTTGGACTTGGGACTTTTGGGGAGTGAGGGGTTCCCTGCCAGGGCCCCAGGCCTGCACGGGTCTCATTGCCGCAAGATTCTGGCAACAAATTCGCCGCCACCGAGGAACTGACGTAAGCTTTTCTGCAGTGAAGTTGAGGGTCTGGGCTTCAGGTTCAGGCTTGAGGGGCCCGTTGGCCAGCAGTGCCCCAACTCTGTCTCTGTTCTCTGCCCTCTGCCCAGCTGCTCCCTCACAGCATACAGGGGTGATGAAGGGTCAGCAACAGGTGCCATAGAAATGGGGGGCATCCCCTAAGTTCATAAAGAGCACTAGGCTATCCAGCTATTAAGGTCAAGCCTAGGTAGGGAGGAGGCTGGGGGCAGGCGCTTTGGACAGGGAGTGACCCCTGCCCGTCTGCCTGTGCCACCCTCCCACGCCCCACCTCCTGGGGCCTGCCAGTTGTCTGTGGGTGTCAGAGCCTCCGGCTGTGGAGAACGGGCTGCTGGCCCGGGCTGCCCCAGTGTGTCGTGCTGCCAGGGCCCCTCCTGCCCAAAGTTGAGGTGCTGCCCAGTGCCCTGGGGCTCCAGTGACTCAGCCTCCCACTCTGGGAAGGTCACCTCTCCCCTGTACATACTCCTTTCTGTATAGTGGCTCCCTCTCTCCTCTAAGTAGCTCAGACCCTCCTTAACTCCAAGGGCCGCCAGGGTGGTTTGGCCCGGCTCCCTGGAGGGCCTGTCATATTCATCCTCTGTGTCCTGTTTCTGGGCCCCTTGCAGGCTATTGGACCAGCCTTTGGCAGAGGCACTACACCTTTTCCAGACCCCCAAGACCTGTTCACCTCTGCCACGTGAGGCCTGAGGGAATGCTGGCTGCTCTTTGGTTGGGCATTGGTGCTTCTGAACCAAGCTGGGAAGATTGGCGGGCCCAGCCCTGGCCCATCCCAGGGCCGTCGGAAGCTGCAGGCTGATTTCTGTGCAGATTTCCACACAGCCTCCACCCCCTCAGAGACTGGCTTTCCTGCTTGTGGTGGCAGCGCACAAAGCACCTTGAGGGTGTATCCATCAGCATCTGGCCAAGAGCTCACTGCCTGGGACAACAGACGTTTTCCCCAGGACCCAGAACCCTCCAAGGGGCTAAGGCATGGCTCGCTGACACACAGTTGGACCAGTCTCCCTGCTTTTCACTGAATTCCTGAGCTTAGAGCCCTGGCCCAGCTGCCAGCATGGGTCGAGAACAGGACCTTATCGTTGCTGTCAAGAATGGAGATGTGACCTGTGTCCAGAAACTGGTGGCCAAGGTCAAGGCTTCAAAGACAAGTGAGTACTTGGTGGGGAGACCATCAATATGATGGTCACCATCCATCTCAGTAATCCCCTGAGTACTAATGCTACCGAGAAAGGCTTCGAAGGAGGCGGTCATTGTGATCTGTGGACTTGAGGAAAGAATAGTGTTCTGTTCTAGACAAGTAGTACCTCTGTGTGGGAGAGACAGAGGAAGTTGAGTTCCCTTTATTGTGTGTCCCCAGGCAAGTCACTTAACCTCTCTGGTACAGTTTCCTTGCTTGCAAAGTACATTCATTCAAATTTTTATTGAGCACCTATCATGTATCAGGTTCGTTTCTAAACCCTGGGCCAGAGTAGTGAACAAAACAGATCAAACTTCCAGCCCTCATGAGTTGTCTGTTAGTAGGTGGCTTTCCAGATGGGTTCTCCAGCACTGTGGGGTTTCTGGCTGGGTGTTGGGAAGGGCTGAAGAGATAGAGCTCTATTGCTACCCGAGTCCCATGTTCACACTGCAACCAGAGCATCTCTGTTTATATCTGAGCTTAATGGGATGTCTATAAGATAGCTTGTAAAAAGAAAGTTATTTGTAAAAGAGTTTCAACACTATCTGACCATTTACTAAAGCTCTTTTCTCCCTGACTTACCTGCTTGTGTCCCCTGGGAGTATGTGGCTACAGCTAATGTTTTAGAGGTTTCTTCAGCCTGGAGGCTCTAGTCCTGCAAGGGCTATGGAGGCTGGATGTGTGAATGGCTACCCCTGAGCCCTGTCTCTTCAATCCCTTTGTGGTGAGACCCTGCAAGGAAAATAGACTTCTGGGCTTCCTGGCAAGCTGTCTGGGCTGTCCCAGGAGGCCACTGGGCTTGTCCCTTGAGATCCTAAACCAGCAGGCGGTACCTGCTGCCAAATCGGGCTGGAGAAAGAGTTCTCTAGAGAGGGGAGGGTCTCCTGGAGTGCGGGGGCTCAAGCTTCAAGACACACCTGGGCCCTACCCTCAGGAAGAGACCCCAGGCTACCTGGAGACGTCTTATTATCCCCACCTACACCTTGGGGTGTGGGTGCCAGAAGCAAAGACAGTAATGGCGTGCACCCACCTGCACAGCAGGGTGGAGACCTGGGCTGTGGTCCCTGTGCCCTGGGGAAGTGGATAAGGGTGAACAGACTTGGAGGTTCCAGGGGAAGGCCCCAAGGCCCAGTGGGAGCTATCTCCCTCCCACTCACCTTTGTGTTGTTTTTGGTGACCTGCCCAGTAGGGCCTTGGTCACACTGCTACTGGCCTCACACACAGCTCTGGGGCCTTAAAGTGAGGCCAGTGGGAGGGGTCCAGAGACTGGTGGCTGGAATCTCGTAGCTAGACTTGTAGGCCCACCTGTGCCTACTGAGAAACATCTGTGGAAGAAGGAGGTCCCTTTCCTCAGTCCAAGGAAGGGGGCTTTACCTGTACAGCCCCCTGTACAGCCTACCTGTACTTGTCACCACAGGGTGACAAGTGTGGGACTCCTTGCCAGGCCCTGGCACCATGCCTCCTATCCTTGTCCTCTGGGAAGCCATAGAAGCTGGTAACCAAAATGAGATCACAAGGTGACCTTTGCAGACCTGACAGTTCATGAAATATTGTAATCCTTTCACTTCCCTGTGAGATAGGAATTTCTATATCCATTACACAAATAAGGAAAGTGACCCTCAGAAAAGGTTAGTGACTTGCTCCATGTCACATAGCCATTACGGGGCAGACTGGAGGTAAACCTGTGCCCTCCCCGCTGTGCTCCCATGCTAATCTCCATTGCTTTCTGTGCACATCAGAATTGCCTAGGGATTGTTCTAGAAGCCTGTATTCTCTGGACTGGACTCCCCCCAAATTAAAATCACCAGAAATGGCCAGGAAATTGCAAATTACAATGTTCTCTAGTTGATTCGAATACAGGTGGTAGTGGACACCTCTATTATACCCAGAGAGACAAAGGAGGCTTCTGGGAGAGGGGCATCAGGGCTTCCCTTTTTCATTCTGCAGCGGTGGCTAGAGTGCTCTGGCCATCCCAAGAGAGAGCATCAGAGTGGTGCTCCCTCAGCTTCTCCTGTCTTAATCTAGCCTGCACTCTTCTCCCTACCCAGGTCCTCTTCCTGGAACAGGTGGCCTGGGCTTTGCCCTTTCCTTTTGCCCTTCCTTCTCTCCTTTTTCTGAGGTCCTTCTTTGGCCAAAGGAAATGCAGTGGGCTGGGGTGGCTGACTGAGCTCACATCCTCTGCTTGAGCCTAAGTCAGGAGTAACCCTTCCATCCCAGAGTTAGGCTGGGGAAGAAGGTTGTGCTGTAACGGAAGTGCCTGGAGCCACTGCCAGGAACCAGGACCCTCCGCCCTCTCTCCACCGGGGTCCCCAGCCCAGTCATTTTGGGCCTCTCCCCCACCACCTTTCCGGCCATTGTTCTGGAAAGAACGGAGCCACCCAGCCTGGCCCTGCCCCTGTTCCTGTGTCCCTTCTGTCACATTGTCCTTCCCCTCCCTGGAGGAGCCACATCCCGCCACCCAGCTGCCCCATCCCAGACTACCAGACCAGCAGGGTGATGGAAGAGTAGGCTGACTGAAAGACTCCATGTCTCTTTCCTGTGGACCTCATTGTCTTCCCTGATGTTAAGAGAGGCAGCATGACTGGCCAAGGTCACAAAGCCAGTGAGAGGCAGAGTGACCGTTTGAACCATGCCCTTCCTGCTTCTTTTCTCTGCCCCAAATGGTTCTGTGTGACAAAGACTTTCCAACAGGACTAGAAGAAAACTGGGAGGCCTGCGTTTCCTCCCAGTGGCCCCCATCTCCTTGCTTTTCTGTCCCTACTCTGCTCTGTTTACCTTTTTGGGATAGAGTCCTTCAGCTAAGTCCAACATGTAGCTGTCTCTTCCCTCCCTGTCCCCTGATTCCCTCTGCAGGGCTGGTCCCTCCCTGTTGGAATGAGGCCCTGCCTTGCCCAAGCTGCTGGGCTATTCAGGGGCCCACCAGGGCCTGGGGGGCAGGCCTGGACCAGCATGCTTGGCACCTTGCCCAGCTTAGATGGAGCCAGGTCCCCTCCTTCCTGACAGGGTGGGTTCCAGTTGGAGGCAGGGGCTGTCTGTGACAGGCCTCCCCTTTCCCTCCTAACACTTCAAGAACCGCCCCTACATGGCCTAGCTGCTGCTCAGTGCTCACCTGTCCCAGAAGGCAGTGCCCCCAGCTCCTCTGCCCAGGGCCTAGACAGCCCAGCCCCAGCTGTGGGTGCAGTGTCAGCAGGTGCTCCCCAGGCAAGCTGAGACCCATCGAAATCCAGGGGGACAGTCCAAAGCTGGCACCAGCTCTTGCTGGAGGTCCACAGGAAAGTAATGGCCCACGTGTTAAGGAGTGCTAAATGGTGATAGCTACCATTTTTGAATGCAGGAGACAGAGGCTCTGTCCTCACAGCCCCTATGGGCATTTACAGAGGACACCGAGCCCAAGATGTTAAATGACCTGCACACTCACACAGCTAGCACATGCAGAGCTGGGGCTAGTGTGGGTCTGTCTGACAAGGCCCTGTCCTCCGGGCTCCACTCAAGGATGCCTCGTGGGGATTGTGGCCCTCCAGCCCAGCCCTGGCATCTCTTCTACTCTCTGAATACCTAGCACTCCACTCCTTTCTTTCCCCACCCATTCCCCTTGGCCCAGTAGGACAATGTGACCCGCTCCCTAGCCCATTCAGGCAGGAATGCTAACCATGTGCTCCGTGGGCCAGTCTGTTGAGGGTATATTGTGCCAGTGCCCCCTCCTGCCCCCTCTGACTCTATAAACAAGCTGGGCTGGGGCCCCAGGGAAGCTAAGCCATTGCTGCAGTGGCTCCCTGCACTCCGTGCCTGGGACTGCTAGCCTGGGAGCCAGGGCAGGAACCATAGGGACAGGACCAGTAAAGGGCCATGGGGCAGGTGCTTTTCTGCACACCGAGAGGTCAGGTGGGCTCTGGAAGATGGGGTAGAGGGAGTACTGGGTGGAAGTGGGGGTGGGAGTGAGGGCAGATGGTACTGTGTGCCCTTATGCCCCTACCTTGACCCCCAGAGCTCCTTGGCAGCACGAAGAGACTCAATGTCAACTACCAGGATGCTGATGGGTGAGTGTGAGCTGCGGGGTGGGGGTGGGGGTGCATAGAGCCCTGGGGAGGGGTAGGAGGGAAAGGCCTTGGGGTCCAGAGTCCCTTCCCCTCTCAGACTTGGCCCCTGAAGTGTATTTGCTGAGAGCTCTGGGTCCTGCTTGTGTAGGGCCAGAGGGAGGGGGTCCCGAGCACCCACCTGACTGTGGAGTGGGCCCTGAACGAGGGGAGGAGGCCCCTTAGGTCAGATTCCTTCTGGGCCCCTTTTCTCTCTGGAGTGTAGGAGCCTGTGAGCGCCTGCTCCCACGGCCCGCTCCCCTAGGCTGACTTGGGGGGGGCGGTGGGCAACGCCAGACAAACAGGCTTCTCAACCCAGACACTAAGCCCTTTCATGCTGTGGCCGGGCTGCTGTGCGCTCCCACGGCAGGCTGGTGGGGGGGCGGGTAAGGAACCCATCCCTGCCAGCCCCCAGAATGAGTTTGGGTATGGAAGACAAGGATGGGGGAGTGATCATTGATACCCCCTATTTTATGTGTCCCCATGCCAGATTCTCTGCTCTCCACCATGCCGCCTTGGGAGGTAGCCTGGAGCTCATAGCCTTACTGCTGGAGGCTCAGGCCACCGTTGACATCAAAGACAGCAATGGTGAGACCCCAGTGTGCCCCCAACATGAAGAAGTAGGGGCCCAACCCAGACCCTGTGACCAGAGTTTGCTCCTCTTAGGACCCAGCAGACCTGTAGATGTGGCTTGCAGGTGGCTTTCCTTCTTGAATCTTCCCAGCCTTCTGAGTAGTGGGTGGTGTTGATTTTCCGTTACTCAGATGAAGAAACTTAGAGAGGTTATGTCACTGTCCTGAGGTTGCCAGGTCATCCATCCTTAGTGGGCCCAGTGAGTCTCTGGTCTCAGCCCCATATAGCTGGAATACTTTCTGACCAAACCTATATGAAGCCAGCATCACATTCTCCCAGGCTGTCCCTTCCCAGTCTGGGTGGCTCCATACTCTGCTCAAATCTGCCCAACCCCAAGCCCATCCCAGGACTTCCTCAGAATCCCTTTCTCCTGCCAGGTATGCGTCCACTGCACTACGCAGCCTGGCAGGGCCGGTTGGAGCCTGTGAGGCTGCTGCTGCGGGCCTCTGCGGCTGTCAACACTGCCTCACTGGACGGGCAGATCCCTCTGCACCTGGCCGCACAGTACGGACACTATGAGGTGGTATGTGAGCCTGCCCATGGGGCGCTGGGGCAAGGAGCCCTGTAGGGGCTGGGGGCTGGCAGGCCAGGTCCCCTCACTCACCTCCCCCCACCCCAGTCAGAAATGCTCCTCCAGCATCAGTCCAACCCATGCCTAGTCAACAAGGCCAAGAAGACACCTCTGGACCTGGCCTGTGAATTCGGGCGGCTCAAGGTGAGGCCTGCAGCCCTTAAGGTGCTGAGTATCATCTGTGAGGTTTCAAAACGAGGCTTTAACTGGGTGCTACACACTGCAGGTGGCCCAGCTGCTACTGAACAGCCACTTATGTGTGGCGTTACTGGAAGGTGAGGCCAAGGACCCATGTGACCCCAACTACACTACGCCACTGCATTTGGCTGCTAAGAATGGCCACAGAGAAGTCATCAGGTACCCGCTGAGGGGACCCCACTTCCTCTTCCCCTTCCTGTGGGATCACTGGGGCCCCCTAAGTGCCTCCCTTGCTCTGAATATCCCAGGCTCCAGCAGTCGGCCTCCTCCCCACCCCACTGTGACTCCCTCTGCCCACCACAGGCAACTCCTGAGAGCTGGGATTGAGATCAACCGTCAGACCAAGACAGGCACGGCGCTCCATGAGGCTGCATTATATGGCAAGACCGAGGTGGTGCGGCTGCTCCTGGAGGTAGGTATACACAGAGCCTCTGTCACGTACTGAGACAGCTGGGAAGGCCATGGTGTTTTGCATGAAGAGTGGAAAGAAGCCTAGCTTCCTTCAAGCAGTGCTAAGGCCATGTGGCTGGAGAGCAGCCCCACCTGGTCTAGACCCCAAGTCTACCTCTTACTAGCTTGTCCTTGACTTGGTCTCCGAAATTCCATTTTCTCATCTGTGAGACCTGAAGTGCTACTGGTACCCACGTCCTGGGTGGCTGTGACCATTGGGGGAGAGATGACAGGCCAAGTGCTCAGCACACACTCATGTGGTACTGTGTACCCAGGGAGGCGTAGACGTGAACATCCGGAACACATATAACCAGACTGCACTGGACATTGTGAACCAATTCACCACCTCCCAGGCCAGCCGGGAGATCAAGCAGCTACTTCGGGGTGAGTGTGTGAAGAAGACCCAGCCAAGGGGCTGGAGCTGTTCCAGTAGGTGCCAGGGTGTAGAGAAGCCTGCTCCCTGGGGGAGGGCAGGGGCTACCTTCAGGACATTCACCTGATACCTGCCCTCCCCCTTCTCTTAGAAGCTTCGGGGATCCTGAAGGTCCGAGCGCTCAAGGATTTCTGGAACCTCCATGATCCCACTGCTCTCAATGTCCGAGCAGGGGATGTCATCACGGTGAGGGGCCCGTGCAGGCATTCCTTTGAGAATATGAAACTATTGCTGTGACTTAGTTGAGCACCTACTGTGATACCAAACTGTGCTGAGTCTGTATATTCTCTCACTTAGTTCTTTGCAAATCTAGGGAAGGTAGGTGTTTTCTTCTTTTTTGGTGATAACAGAATCAAGGCTTAGAGAAGTCAAAATAACTTGCCCAAGGTCACATAGCTAGCAAGCAGCAGAGCTAGGATTGGAACACAGGCTGCTCCTCTGGGGCTGGGGAAGAGCTCTATGGCTGTCAATTGCTTGGTTTAGGGAGTGACCGTCCTCTCCCACCGCAACCTGTCACAGGTGCTTGAACAGCATCCAGATGGCCGCTGGAAGGGCCACATCCATGAGAGCCAAAGAGGCACAGACCGCGTGGGCTACTTCCCACCAGGCATCGTGGAGGTGGTCAGCAAGCGGGTGGGCATCCCTGTGCCCCGTCTTCCCTCTGCGTCCACCCCCTTGCGCCCAGGCTTCTCCCGGACACCACAGCTTCCTGTCGATGACCCCCTGCACTCTCTTACCTATGGCCAGCTCCCTCGGGTGGGCCTCAGCCCAGACAGCCCAGGTACATCCTCCCGGAGGGCAGCACTGGGCACCAGCAAGTTGCCAGTTAGTTGTTAGCTGTGCCAAGTGAGGCCCTGACCCCTGTACTTCTGCCCCCTGCAGCAGGTGACAGGAATAGCGTGGGCAGTGAGGGCAGTGTGGGCAGCATCCGCAGTGCTGGCAGCGGGCAGAGTTCCGAGGGCACCAATGGCCACAGCACTGGCCTCCTTATTGAGAATGCCCAGGTAGGAGGGAGGACCTTGGGGACCCAGGGCAGGGCCCACCCCCACTGCCAGTTCCCCACGTGCTAAGTAGACTCCTCTATCTCCAGCCGCTGCCCTCTGCCGGAGAGGACCAGGTGCTGCCAAGACTGCACGCCCCACCTCTGGCAGGTGAGAAGAATGAATGGGACCCAGTTGTTGGGAGAGGTGCAGGTGGGGAGGCTGAGGGCTTGACACCCCCTTCTGCCACCTCTGAGGCCATTTCTCCCTCTCCTTGAAGACAACCTGGGCCACCGCCCTCTGGCCAGCCACCGCTCTGGGGAGATCTTCACCCAGGATGTGAGGCCTGAGCAGCTGCTGGAAGGGAAGGTGAGGCCTCTGCCAGGGGTGTGCTGTGGGCCTTGGAGGATGATGAAGGGCTTTAGTGCATACACGTAGGCCAGGCCCCTGGGGGAGGCTAGGCCCTTCTTTCTTGGTGGCTTAGTTCCTGCTGACTCCCCCTTCCCCCACAGGATGCACAGGCCATTCATAACTGGCTGAGCGAATTCCAGCTGGAGGGCTACACTGCCCATTTTCTTCAGGCTGGCTATGACGTGCCAACCATCAGTCGCATGACGCCTGAGGTAGGTGCTCCAGCCTGGGAAGGGAGGGCCTCGTGGGCAAAGGAGGGGCCTCATGTCGGTGCCTGGTGTGGCAGGATTTGACAGCCATTGGAGTGACCAAGCCTGGGCACAGGAAGAAGATCGCTTCAGAGATTGCCCAGCTCAGCATCTCCGAATGGCTGCCCAGTTACATCCCGGTGAGCAGGAGGCTGGGTGGGGGCTTCGGAGTCTCAGCCAGGGCTGTGGCTTTGTGATGCCCCTTCTTTTCTGGCTTGGGGGAAGCCAGGCCTAACGATGATGCTCTTCCAGACGGACCTGCTGGAGTGGCTGTGTGCACTCGGGCTGCCACAGTATCACAAGCAGCTGGTGAGCAGCGGCTATGACTCTATGGGGCTGGTGGCCGATCTCACCTGGGAGGAGCTGCAGGAGATAGGTGTCAACAAGCTGGGTGAGAACTGCTCTGAGGCCTTCTGACTGAGGCCTCCAAGACGAGAGAATGAGGTCCCAGGGTGACAGGATGAGCCTTTCTAACCAAGCTGCTTCTGTTCACACCCTCAGGGCACCAGAAGAAGCTTATGCTGGGTGTGAAGCGGTTGGCAGAGCTTCGGCGGAGCCTGCTACAAGGAGAGGCCCTAGGCGAAGGCGGGTGCCGGCTGGCCAGGGGTCCAGAGCTGATGGCCATTGAGGGGCTGGAGAATGGGGAGGGTCCAGCCGTGGCTGGCCCACGCCTCCTCACCTTTCAGGGTAGTGAGCTGAGCCCAGAGCTACAGGCAGCAATGGCAGGGGGTGGCCCTGAACCGCTTCCCCTGCCCCCTGCCCGTTCCCCCAGCCAGGAGAGCATTGGAGCACGCTCACGGGGATCTGGTCACTCACAAGAACAGCCTGCCCCCCAGCCCAGTGGTGGAGAGCCCATCACTCCACAGGAGAGGAACCTTCCAGAGGGCACAGAGCGCCCTTCCAAGCTTTGCTCCCCACTTTCTGGCCAAGGACCTGCCCCTTATGTTTTTATGTGCCCCCAGGGCTCACCCTCCAGCCCAGCCCCAGGGCCACCTCCTGGTGCACCCCGGGCCTTCTCCTACTTGGCTGGCCCTCTTGCCACTCCCCCAGACCCACCTCGGCCCAAACGCCGGTCCCACAGCCTGAGCCGCCCTGGCCCTGCTGAAGGAGAAGCTGAAGGGGAGGCTGAAGGGCCAATGGGCAGTGCCTTGGGCAGTTATGCTACCCTCACTCGGCGACCAGGACGCAGTGCCCTTGCTCGGACCAGTCCTAGCCCAACCCCAACTCGAGGGACCTCCCGCAGCCAGTCCTTTGCCCTCCGGGCCCGTCGTAAGGGCCCCCCTCCGCCACCCCCCAAGCGCCTCAGCTCAGTTTCTGGCCCTACAGAGCCACTGCCACTAGATGGGAGCCCAGGGCCCAAGGAGGGGGCAACAGGGCCCCGAAGGAGAACACTGAGTGAACCAAGTGGGCCCTTAGAGCCCCCTGGCCCACCCACCCCAGCTGGCCCAGCATCTGACACAGAAGAGGAGGATCCTGTCTCTGAGGGAACACCCCCATCTCGGGGCAGCTCAGGGGAAGGGCTGCCATTTGCAGAGGAGGGGAACCTGACTATCAAGCAGCGGCCGAAACCAGCTGGCCCCCCACCCCGGGAGACCCCCGTGCCCCTGGGCCTCGACTTCAACCTCACAGAGTCAGACACTGTCAAGCGGAGGCCCAAATGCAGGGAGAGAGAGCCACTACAGACAGCACTGTTGGCCTTTGGGATGGCAGGTGCCACCCCTAGCTCCTCTGCACCCCTGCCTTCCCAAGCCCCCAGCGAGGCCTCCTCTTCAGCCTCCTCCAGCCCTTTGCGGCCTGAACCCAGCAGCCTTGCAAATCAAGGATCTCTAGCCCCTCTTACCCCTGCAACACAGTCCCCAGTGCCCTGTGCTGGCCCAAGTCTGGAACACTCAGCAAGCAGGCAAAATGTGGAGACCGAACACCTGGCTGCCCCCACTGCCCTCCTCAAGGTGCCTGGAGCAGGTAGAAAGCAATGCCTGTGGGAAGGAGGTACTGTGTGCTGGGTTGTGTCCAGCCCAGCCAAGTCACAAGCCAACCTTTTTGTCTCTACAGGAACAGGCCCCAAGCCTGTGTCTGTGGCCTGCACTCAGCTGGCATTTTCTGGCCCAAAGCTGGCTCCCCGGCTTGGCCCCCGGCCAGTGCCCCCTCCAAGGCCTGAGAACACTGGGGCTATGGGCCCAGGTAGGGCCCAGCAGAGACTGGAGCAGACCAGCTCATCCCTGGCAGCTGCACTGAGGGCAGCCGAGAAGAGCATTGGCGCTGAGGAACAAGAGGGGTGAGCTGGGTGCAGGGTGCCAAGGGGAGGGAAGGAAGGCTGGGTGTAGGAACAGCTCCTCCCATAGGTCCTGGGAACACTTGCAGGGACACTGAAGGTTGAGTCTGGGGCTGGGGAGGCCTCTAGTAGGATGGCAGGACCCTAGCTTTTAGAGTTGCCCAGATCTGACCTGCAGGAATTCCTAGAAACTGTCACCTAGAGGTACATGAGCTTGGGTAAGTCTCTTGTCCCCAAGCTTCAATGAAGGCATCTGTAAGGAAGAGATGGTAACTCCCGCTGCCTGGGAGGTTGTGAACATCAAGAGGGTATGCACACTAAGTGTTTGGCACCAGGCAGGAGCTCAGTGGCAGCTCCTTCCCCAGGGCAGTGGGCTACAGACCACTGGTCCATCTGATTGGACCCTTCCCCTTGCCACAGCCCCTCTGGGACCTCCACCAAGCACATTCTGGACGACATCAGCACCATGTTTGATGCCCTGGCTGACCAGCTGGATGCCATGCTGGATTGAACAAGACTGGCCTGTGGCCCTCTGGCAGCATCCACTGTACCCTACAGCATCCACTGCCTTTAGCACAGCATGGAAGAGGCCCGTGCCACCCTAGGACCAGGCAAACAGCTGGTCGAGCTGGTGTACCTCTCTCTCCTCAGCAGATACCTGCAGCTCCGAGCAGTGGCCGACAGCCCCAAGGTTGGGGCCAAGGGGACCAGCTGAGGAGCCTCTGCTGCATGGTAGCAAAGCCCCTCCCATGTATAATCCGACTAGACAGCCTTGAGCCCTGGACAGGGACCCTGATAAGAGTTTTCTCCTCTAGGAGGAGGAGGTGACAGGGCTTCTGGGTTGCTTTCTCTACACCCCCATCCCATGTCTCAAGACCCTATGTGAAGGGAATGCCTCTAGACACCCACCATGCTGCCCTGGCATTCACGAGCTGAGGGAAGCAATGCGCCTGGCTGGACCCCTTCCCTGCAGGTGTACATAGGAGGTGTAAATACACAGCAGGGGCAAACCCTTGTGGCAGCGGCCATGCCCCAGCCACCTTCTGTCCCTACTTCCACAGTCTCTCTGGGAAGTAGTGGGGTTAACAGATCCCCAATGTCCAAACTTTTCCACTGTAAATATTTTTTAAGCAGAGAGATGCATATATTTTAAATGGAATTTATTCTATCTATTAACTGCCTGAGAGGACGCAGTGGGGGATGGCCTTCAGACCACAGCAGAAGTACCCACTGCCCCCCTCAGGGCTGGAGGTCTGACCTGGTTGGCCCAGGCCTGGGCTCTATAACCATTAACCTCTTCCCCCAACTAACATCAATGAAAGTGTCATTCCATGTGATTGGCTATGTGTTTGGATCTGTACCACAGAACTGAATCTAGGGGTCAAACCGTATCAGACCCTAGGGGACTCACCAATGTGGGCCCTCCCTTCCTCCCTGTCAGGGCTCCCCTCATGCCCTCAGCTTGGGGAGGGGGGCTCTTCATGGCTGCCTCATGGACCAGCCACAGGTTTTTCTTAAGCAATTTACAAGTTTTAATATAAACCAGTCTACATTCATTCCTAAAAGACTCATTTCCAGTAAAAAATATACACCAGTAAAAACTTCTCCCAGGAGAATAAGGGCATGAGCTATAGGAAACCTGGACTGTGTCCCCAACACTGACTCACTGACTAGTGGCCAGTTGAGTACAGGCATAGGAAGAAGCTCCAGGGTGAGGTGGGGGGCCCTCTCCAACTTCAAGCCCAAGAGTAAAAGCCCCCCCAGAGGGGAGGTCCTTGGGCCATACCTGGGCTTGCACCCCAGGAAGGTGGGATGCAGGTGGCAGGGAGAACACGGCATCTCCCATGGCAGTGGCCACACTATTCTAACAAAGGCTGAGGCCTTTGCTCCTCGCTTCAAGGGTATGCCACAGAAGCAACAACAGAGGACACCGGGTAAGGGTAAGGGAACCCTGAAGTGGGGCAGCCCATGGGAGAGGACTAAGAGTCCCTCTACCATGCACCTGAGTTCATACATTCGAGTGCCCCTGGTAAGGCCAGAGAAGAGCCAAAATGGTCGTGTTCGGCCAAGGCTCCTCAGCTTCTCCACAGTGAGCCCCAGGGTCAGGAAGACAGCAGGGTCTCCAATGACCAGAGCTGGGCCTCTGATGCCAGGGGGCACAAGAACAAACCCTGAAACATTCATGATACCAACTCCCCAGACTCAGGAATGGGTCTGGTGTTAGCTCCAGGGACAAGGGCCACCATGGCCAATGGCTCAGAAGGGAGAATTCATGCCCAGCTTAGTTTCAAACTGCAGCTTCTGTCGCTTCTGATAGCGGACTCGAACCCTAGAGGGATAGGAGATTAAAATGCGGGTTGGTATAGATCCTCAGACCAAGGGACTGGGCAGGACACCAGAGAGGAGAGAGAAATGCTCACAAAGGGTGACAGGTTTAGGTAACATGCCTGAGCCCCAAGGGAGGGACCCTGCTGACAGCTCACCGAATCTCATGCAGCTTTACGATCTCGTTGGTGACCACCACAAGGACCAAGGATAAGCAGCCCAGGAGCCATGTCAGCAGGGGCACATCCTCCAGGCCAAAGTGGATGTGGCTGTCCCTGTGTGTCCACAGCTGCAGGTCAACAGCCGTCTGGACCACCTGACCCAGCAACCTGCCAGAGAAAGGGGCAGCAGCCCCACGTGAACCCCACGTCATCGTGCTTCCTTCCTGCTTTCTCAGCATGATACACCTAAGGAGGGCAGTTAGACCTCTGGCCCCAACCAACCTGCAATCCTGGCCCTGCCCTATGACCTTCTCCAACAAGTGCTACTCACACTACAGGCACAGTCACAGCCCACCAGAGGTTTGTCAAGGGGCTCTTTCTCCATAGGGGCTTGGTGCGATGCACATGGGTTATCGAGATGAAAACTGGAAAAAACGGGGCCAATGGGGTGTCAGACTTCCTGCTAGCTCAAAGCCTTGTCTCCCACATTGGGGTCTCCCCAACAGCAGTCAGCAGCCCTTCCCAGGCAGAGCCCTTACCAGTGTGCAGGACAATCAGGGCGGCAGTGAGCTTCTGAGCCGACAGCAGCCCATTGGCAAAGTCTTCAAACCAAGCTGGAGCCCTATCATCATTGCTGTCAAACCAAGACAAAGGCTTAGCTTCCCGTGGCCACCGGGAAGTGGACTGGGGTGAGGAGGGAGACCCACCTGCGCAGCATGACTGAAGAGCAGTTGGTGAGGTTGCGGGCCCGGACACTGTCACAGAAGCTCTGCAGTGTGAAGCCAAAGCAGATGAGGCACGAGCTGATGGTGAGGCTGAACTTCAGCAAGAAGCAGAGCAGGAAGTAGTGCTGGGTCTGTGGGAGAAGAGAGGCTGCTCGCTCTCATGGTGACAGAACCAGTTAGCTTTTTCATGCTTTCAACCAAGCTCTTAGTAGCATAGGGGGCGGGAGGAGGAAAAGCACTCCCGACAAAACTCTCTCAGCTGTGACTACCACCTCCTCTGGCCAAGTGCCAGCTCTCTGGGTCTCCAGATCTCTGTAGAGCCTTCCAGGTTAGGCCCTCCCCCAGCCCCCTGTGTACTCTTACTCTTCCATGAGAGGCCCCTGGCTTGTCAGGTCTGCCTTGCTTACCTTCTTAGGAATGGACTGAAGGTTTTTCCCTGTTGCCATAGACATGATGGAGCTATGAGGTGGTTTCCCCAGCAGAGAGATGCTGAAAAGCAAGAGTGGGTGAAGTGACACCTCTGTCCCCCGATTCTCATAGGGGAACCCTTCAGGGAGTCTTGGAAGTGAGGTCAAATCTGGTGGGGAGGTAGAGTAAGACAAAGGGGCCTTCCCTTCTGCACCAGAGGAGGTGAGCCCTGAGTGGCCCTTCAAGAACCCTAGGCTCCTCAGAATCCCCCATCTGCTTGCACACAGAGGGGCTGCAAGGCCTCTCACCTGAGCAAAGGGTAGCAAAAGCAGGACAGCCATAGGATGTCTGTGGTACTCAGGAGAGGTGGCAGCTGGACCAGGCAAGAAAGGAACTACACCAGGAAAGAACCCAGGAGCCACAATTAGATTTTGGCAAATTAATACAATCTGTGGGCCCCAAGCTGCCTTGCCCTTGCCCAATGGAGTTATCTCCAGGGCCCAAAGGGTTTTTTTCTTCCATCTTTCCTTCCCTTTCTTTCCTTCCTCCCTCCCTCCCTTCCTTCGTTCCTTACTTTCCCTCCCTCCCTCCCTCTCTCTCTTTTTCTCTTTCATGGTGGTACTAGGGTTTGAACTCAGGGCCTTGTACTTTCCAGGCAAACCTTTACCTTGAGCCACGCCTCCAGCCCAAGCCCAGGGGTGTCACAGAGGCTCTGGAGACCCCTTCACTGTACTGCACCTCCAGCTTCCCTTCTCAGATTCTCAACTTTCCCTTTCATGAAAGAGTGGGTGGGGAGAGGGTAACGCCTGTGCTGGCCCTGGCTCACCTGGATGACCACGAGGGTCAGCTGGCACTGCAGCAGGAAGAGGAAGCACTTACGGATGCCATTGGTGGCATGCCGAGCCTAGGGACCGAGAGGGGTAGATTATGGCCCAGGCTCTCCTGACCTCTCTCAGGCCCTACAGCTGACAAGCTTCAGCCAAGAGCCACATGCCCGTGATGCTCCTGTGAGGAAGGAGCAGACAGAAATCCAACTGCCTGGGGAGCTGCTCGTGCTCCTCCCCACATGCCAGGAGGGCAAAAAGCATGAGGTCCAGTGGGCCCAGAAGACTCTGTTGCAATTCTACCCCCTAGGCTGCCCCAGGTGGACCCTGCCCCTTTCCCCCACCCCCTGCCTGAGCCCCACCTGCTCAATGAGCCGGATGATGCTGATGGTCTCCTCCTGGCGGAAGGTCAGGGAGCAGGGCAGGCTGTTGAGCTGCCCTGACAGCTGCAGGGGAGACAGGCCATCTGAGGCCTGGGCCATGCTGGTGCTGGTGGCGTAGCCAAAGGTCTCCCAGGAGCAGCGGGATGGGTACAGGGGATCCAGGGCAATGCTGCTCAGTGTAGGGAAAGCCCATGCATGAACTATACTCTGTGAATATCCCATCTCCTACAGTGCTGAACAGCCTACCCCTCTTCTCCAGGGGATATGCCCCCAGCCCCCTGCAGGCCCACTTGGAGACAGGTTGGCAGGGGCCACCATAGGGCTGCCTCCCCCCGCCCCACAGCCCTAGGATCTTGTCCTGACCTGACATCACTCTGGAGGAACAGGCAGCTGTTCCGCAGGTTGGCAGAGCTACCCAGGCAGCAGGTCACCTCCCCATACTCCTGCATGATCTTTATCATCTCACACATGGCTGGGGGTAGGGAGGGTGGCACAAGAGTCAGGCAGACAGAGTCCCAGGCAGGCACCAGCAGAGTGCCACAGGCCAGGAGAGCAGGAAGCAATGGGAATCAGGTCCCTCTTTGGAACAGCCCCACCCCAGCAGTGTGAGCACATGAGAACTATTACTTCTGACTCTCTGGCATAGGCATGCCTGCAGTGCCAGCCCACTGGATTCCCCAGCCCATCCCAGCCCAGGTTCTTTCGCTCATTGCATGGAGCCCATGGGGAGCCCAGCCCTGGCAGAGCTAGCAGGAGAGACCATAGCACTCACTCTCAGGGGTACAGTCAGTGAAGAGGGGCACCAGCAGGGGCACATTGTCAATGTTCTGTAGATGGGGCCGCACCTGGTGGATACCCCGGGGTAGTTTGGCCTGGAGGAAGCAGAGATGCCAGTAGCCTCAGGATGATGGGGAGTAGGATCTCTCCACATCACCTGCCTGCCCGTCCTCCTGCCCTTCTCTACCCTGGACTAGCCATGGCCACTTCAGGGGCCAAGGGGAACAGATCCCACCATCATACCCGGTTGCAGTCCTCCAGAAAGCTGGGGATGTCACTGTCTGTAGGCTGGAAGCTGATGAGGTCCGAGTGACCCTCCTCCTCCAGTAGGAGAAGCCCTTCCACATCATCCCGGGACACTGTGGGACAAAAGCTTGTCCCTCACCTTGGGCCAGCCTTCTGGGGGCTTTTCCTTGCCCTGCAGATGGCAGACAATTTCTGCCTCCAGTTCTCCACTCTTCTATTGCCCACGGGGATGCTGGGCCATTTTCCAAGGGAGTATACTAATTAGGAGGCTCTTCCTAGCTGTGGCTCCCAGGAGAGGGAAGCTCCCCAACCTCCCTGTCCCTACCACAAGTCCTTGCCCTCACCCTGATTCAGATCATCATGTAGGGAGCCTGCATGGCTGGGGCTGGAAGGGGGGATCTCAGAGCCAGGCATGTCACCATTGGGTGTAAGGGAGATGTGGCAGTTCCAGCCTGTCTCCAGGCCCATCTTTTCTGCAAACACCTGTAAAATGCAGATGGCAATGAACAGATGGGCTTAGAAGCCCATGGGGGAAAGGATAAGTGGCGACAGAGGAGGAGAGCTCCCTCACCTTGCTTTTGAGCTCATCCTCCAAAGAAAAGTAGACAAAGCGGATGCAGGCGTTGACCAGCCCATCGATGAGGCGCACGATGTCCAGTCGAGCCTGGTACTGGGAGGACACCATGCCCATGAAGATCTGACCGCTCAGGGCCTGCATGCAGTCTTCCTTCTCCAGCACTTCCCCGATCCCTTCTTCAGGCAGGCACAAGACACAAAGGCCAGCAGGACACCAAGACACAGCCCAGTCAGGATACCCAAGAACCAGCAGATTCCAGGAGGCAGTCAGGGCCACACACACAGATGCCACACCCAAATCAATGAGCACACGGGCCCCAGAGAGCCACACACAGCCGCAAGCACACACACCCAAGACAGAGAAAGGAACCAACAGATACAGGAGAAAAGACAATGAAAGGTACTCATCAGTCATGTGGCCATCCTGAGGAGCCAGGCAGAGCATGACTCAGCTCCTGCCTAGCCCTACTGCAGGACTAGGGAGCCAGCCCCACCCTCAGCAACCACTGCAACACATGGTCTCTTGGATTCCTAAGACTCACTAAGTGTGCATGCTTAAGGGTGAGAGGTTCCAGCAGGGTCTGTGACCTGGGCATTTGTCTGATTCTAATAAGGCTAATGCTCTATAAACACATGCTGTTTTATTATTTTCCAAGAAAGCATTTTTATATGCAGATACCCTTTTGAATATCACAAGAAGCTGGTGAAGAGGGTAGAACCTATTTAGATGAGAAAACTGAGGGACCCCCCGCCATGTCACCAGCTAGAGAGTGCCACACTGGCATCTCAGCTTCCATGCACCTTCTGCCCATGGCACCTTTTGCAACAAGCAATATCATGGCCATCAGAACCCCTCCACTCCTGGGCTTCCCAGCCCCCAGGAGCTCCACTAAGACAGAAGTGCACAGTACCGTCAGAGCTCCAGCTGTTTCGGCGAGCATTCTGTTTGATGGGGACGGTGCCGGGCAGCTCACATGTAGTGAAGATACTGCTCTGACCAGGCACCTGCACCAGCTCAATGCACTTGCCATTGAGCTGGGAGGACAGAGCACAGCTCATAGGCTTGTAGGCAAAGGCAGAGCAATAACCAGACAGGCAGGCTCGCTGATAGAAATCCAGCACTTTCTTTCTACCAGGGAAGTGGAGAAGAAGTAAGGTGAGTGGTTCTGAGATGCCCCATAACTAAATGATGGGCAGACAGACTGGCATAGATCCTCACCCACCTGTCAGAACCAGAAAGAGGGTAGATGTCAGCCCCATCCCAGAAGTCTGTGCAGGCCTCCAAGACCACATCAGCCGTGCCATGGGACAGCATCTGTTCTGTGCCTGGGGCAAAGTAGAGGTCACACCATAAGACCCTCAAAACAACCCCTGTCCTCCTCTGACCCAACAGGAAGCACACTGAAGTCCTCATGAAGGGTGCAAAGGCACCCCTGACAGATGAGGAAGCCCTCAGGCCTCCCAGTCAGCAAGCTGCTGTGCAACAACACTGGCTGGTAACGTTTTCCCATCCTCTACAACTCCGTGACCCTACAACTCCAGTCCCATTCCCAGTCCCTTCCTGCCACACTGGAGGACTGGGGAAGTGGTCTGCCTTTCACCTGCCCCATCCTGCCTAGAAACGGACGAGGTAGGACACAGTCCCCCACCCCCCAATTTCTGGAAGGTTGGGTTAGACACCAGCTGAGCTGGCTGAGGCTCACTGGTGGCAGTGTCCTTGATGAAGAGGCTGATCATGTGGCTGAGGGGGGGGCGCCGCTTGGTGACACAGGAGGGTCGCCCCAGCGAGGTCTCCTTCATGGTCTCGGCACTTGGGAGGCGGTACAGTGCAAGATGATTTTCCTGCTTGAAGAGCTCCTTGGCCCCTGGAGTGAAGCCTGCGGACGAGCACGGGACTCAGGGCTTGTGGGCAGAGGCAAGGCTCGCACCACCGGCCACCTCACTCCCTGCCACAGACAGAAAGACAATTTTGTTGGCCTGGCCAGTTCCTTCCCTTTCCATCCCAACAACTAGTTGTTTTCCCAGATAGGAAGCTCAGCTATGCATCATAGCGTCTGTTAAAGGGGGACAGTCAGAAGGCTATGAGTGGCCAGAGCTTGTGTCAAGTAAATGCCATTCCAGGGACAGTGCTGGACCTCTTCTGAGAGGCCAGCAGCCACCCAGATGGCCCCACTCCACTGCTACCACTGCAGCCATACCGATGAGGCGGGCCAGCTCACAGAGGCCCCAGGGCACGTGCACGGGCAGCACAGCGCTGTGGCTCTCCTGCAGGGCAATGTTGCACAGGTGGTCGGAGAAGCGGCACAGGCGCTCGGTGACACTGGCATTGCACAGGTTCAGCAGCACATTGAGCCCTAGAGGCTTGAGGGAGGTGAGGTGCAGCTGCCAATTGGAGTCATCGAACTGGATGCAGGAGGGGTTCTGCTGGTCCTGGGACAGGCTCAGCATCTCCAGGTGGTAGTCGCACACAAAGTCCTCAGCCTCATAGGGTTCCCCTTCCATCCCAGGCTGGGCCTGGAGGAAATTTGTGTGTGTGTTGGGGGGGAAGCCTCAGGTCAGGAGGACCTGCTTGGCTCCACAAGCAGGCCAAGGCTGGCCTTGCAGGAAGGTGCACCTTCCTGGAGGAAATGCCAGTGCTCACTCTCCTGTCCCTCCCAAGAGCCTCTCCCCATCCTTGGTCTGTCTACTTCTAGGATCTATACCCGATGGCACTGGCACTACCAATAAGAGGGACAGTCATTTAGAGAAGAAACGGTGAGGGGGTGTTTTCAGCTGGAGGTGTGTTTAGAAGGTTCTAATTAGGAGACCAGTCACTTGTAGGTATATGAGGAACAGGGCCACATCACAGAGGAGCCTTGGACTAGGCATCGGGAGGTCATCCTGCTGGCCATGTCTGAAGGCAGCAGCATGTAACTTCTACGTGTGACTTTCAGACCCTCTTGGGCCAGGTGGGCTGTGCCCCTTTGGCAGTGATGGCCAGTGATGACAAGGTGGCTTCTCCACTCTGTCTCCCTCCTCTCACCTTGCTGAGCTCTTCCTCGCCACCCTCAGTGTCCCTGCTGAAGCTCACGTTGGAGCCGGACAGGTGTTTGCTGCGGCCGTGCGCCTTGTGGTGAGAGTAGGGCTCAGGGGGCTTGGGGCCATCACCAGGCCAGTCGCCATGCTCCTGCTCGTTGGAAAGGTGCAGGGTATTGTTCATGGAGCCAGCAAGAAGGGCATCTCGTTCATGGGGCTGAGGAGAACAGGAGCACAGGCCTAGGACCAGGGCCCCATGGCTCTCACAGACCAGGGAGGGGGGCATTTCTGGTTCCCTCACTGCCTTGTCCTGTGGCTTTACCTTAACTTCTCAGAAGCAGTTGCCAGAGGTGCCTGGGCTCCTTTTTCCCTCTTAAACTATTACCCTCCCGAGGCCACTGGCCAGACTCCGAGGCTAAGCAGCCAGGCCCAGTTGGGCCCACAGGAGCTGGCCATACCTCCTCCTCTACCTCAGGATGGCAGAAGGAGCGGGTGGACAGGTCATCTGTGAGGTCCTCATGGCTGCTGTGAGGGGGTTCCACTTTCCCACTGAAGAACAGCACAGTCTCTGGGCTGGGATTTGGCCATGACAGGATCCCCTGCTTGTCCACACAGCACAGGACCTGCAGGAAGAGGTTGAGATTTGGAGGTGGGTTGGTATTGGCCAAAATGCCCAGCAGACAGTCCAGATCCTGCCAGACAGCAGGCCTGGTGTGACAGGTGCTTCCTCCCTGCAGGGTCCCCTCACCGTGACGGAGCCCAAGCTGTGCAGCAGGCTGGCACTGTGGCTCAGCGTTGGTGATGTCCCTTGGATCACCCTCAGGAAGTGGCCCCAAATGCAGCGCAGCATTTCCTAGTGGGAGAGAGAAAGTCTGCGAGGGCATTTGGGGCTCAGCCTTATTTCTCTGGAGATGGCCTCTAAGGGCTCAAATAGGGAAAAAATCCAGGGGAGTGTCAGGGGGTTGGGGTTCTGGGACAAGGTGTCGATGTAATCTCCACATGCAAGGAGGGAGGGTAAGGGATCTCCAAGAGCCCAGCTGGAGGCTCAAGACCGTAAGTAGAATCCTGGGGTTGCATGAAGGAGCCTGAGGGTGTGCAGGACTTGTGGCTACAGGGGCCTGGGGCAGAATCCATCATGGTCAGTGTACCTGAGAGGAGACGGCTTCTGTATAGCTGCTGAGAGTATCCTCTGAGAACTTGGCCAACTGCATAGAAAGGAGACAAGCATCGGTGAGGAAACAGCAGTCTTCACACAGACCTCCACATTGGCAAAGGGGGCCCACACCAGCAAGGCTCCAACCCATTTGGTAAAAGGCACCTGGCAGTCCTGACTCTCTGCTGGTGAGAGTCAGGAGGACTCTATCCCGCAATGGGGCCTGGCCTGGAGGCTACTCTGTAATGGAAAGGGCCTGAGCCCCTGGAAAGCAGCCCAGGGCTTCCAACATGCTGAGCACCAGTAGGGGCTGCACTTCAGCCCTGCTTCTCTGGCACAGCCAATTCCTGCCACTGTCCCCAGAATAACCTACCAGGGAGCTGGGCGAGACCTTGCTCATCTGGGCTAGGACACGGGCTTCTCCACAGGCAGTCGCCAGCACCCAGAGGACTGGGAAGAGCAGGGGGAGGATAGGCAGCATGCCATTAACCTAGGAAAGAGTGAGCCACGTTGAACATTCTCAAGGACCTGCTGGCCTGGAGGAGGAATGAAGAACGAGAGGGCTGCCCCTACCATATGGCCAACCCCTGGGTGGAAAGGGACAGCTGTCCAGGAGGCAGGAAAGGAAGAAAGGGAAGAAGGCACTCTTAAGCTGAAGCCTGAGGATACTCTGGGCAATAGATGGAAGGACAATCAGAGCCCACAGGACAGAAAGAAGCACAACAGAGAAGAATGGGCCATCCTTGCCTGGAGCTGAAGGAGGGTGTACTGCCAAGAAGTGACCCCAGGGGCACTGAACATGAAACGCAGGGAATTGGTGATGAGAAAGCCGGCCTGTGGGAACAGGAGGAGCACAGCCTTAAGCCACTCCCCTAGGGAGGGACTAGGTTCTTGTCCCCTTCCTTGGCCACTCACAATGCAGGCTCCCTCTGGCCCCCTGTGCCTGGTCACTCACCTGAGCCTGACCCCAAGGCTCCCCCATGTCTGGCCCTCTCCCCTACCCTGCAGACCCGCCTCACGCACCAGGACCACGGGCACTGCATAATGCAGCATCACTGACTGCACTGTGAACCTTTCATTGTCCAAAGCAGTGACTGGGCGGGACAGAGCCATGTCCAAGCACCACCTGTGGAAAGAAGTGATGCTCAGCCTTGCTTAGTGGGGAGGCCAGAAACCTGCACCTTGAATGGATTCTGGGCCTCTTAGCCAGACAGGGATTCAATGAACACCATCAAGTCCTGCCACTCCCTAGTGGCATCCTGGGAGAGAGGCCTGTGGCCACCTCCACAATCGTCCCCTCAGAGTTCAGCCTGGGTGGAGGCACCACTCAACCTAACAATGCTATGGGAGGCTGAGGAAGTACCTGCACACGGAAAGGCCTGGGGGGTCTGAGGCTCCTTCCTATTACAGGAGGCACTGGGGGAGAAGACGGCAAGGCAGAAGGAGGTGAGTGACATGCTTACCTGACATTGTCAATCACAGGGGTCTCCAAGACACGGAAGAGCCGGTGCTGCTGGGGGTTCTGTGGCCCTTTCTTCACTTCTCCCCGGGGAGAGGGTGGTGGAGAGAAAGGGGGAAACAGGTCACCTGGCTCCAGGACAATGTGCTCATCATCCTACCAGCAGTGAGAATGAAAGGACTCTATCAGAGGCTACACTCCTGGACAATACCAACTAAGAGGAGATGGCTCCTGGGGTCAGGGACTGTCCACAGCACAAAGCCTGTCAGGGTGGGGTTGTGGGACTTGAATTCCTAGTACATGAGGATCCAGGAGAAGAACAGTACAAGAAAGATGAGGAAGAAGTTCTAGCTCTGCCTACGAGCGCTTGCAAAACCTACAAGATGGTCAGGAGGAAGCTCAAGATTAAGCCCTGGAACCCCCCGCTTGCCTATAGATGTTCTCCCAATAGTTCCCGGAAAAGAAACCAGCCTCTAGCTACCTTGATCCCCCTCAGGGAAGCGAAGGATTCCTGGCCAGGCCTTAGGGCTATGATGTCTCCTTCTACCAACAAGCTGACTGGTAGATTGACCAGGTGTCCATCTCTGTAGGCCCAGTGCAGCGACCAGGATGGTGCAAAGGGCATGTGAAGGTCAGGATACATGGCATTTGGCCACTTGATCTCCTTGCCATCCCTGAGGGCATCTGATAAGAACAGAAAGAGGAAAACAATCTTCTCACTCTCCAGCCAGGCCCAGTGACATCTAGGGAGTGTCACCTGCTCTTCATCCTTTCCCAGAAGGTCTATACAACCCACTTCATCCATTCAAATTGCTTCCACTATTTCAGTGATGCCTTCTCTATGAAGCCTTATCCAACTGCTCCAGCCAGGCACCTTTGCCAGGCAAACATGTGCTAACATGTGTGTCAACAAAGATCCCAGCATGGTAGAATCACAGAAAAGGTAGTGAACCTATCTTCCCAGATATGGGAGATGGCTTCTGGAGAGACAGAGCATTTGTCATGAGTCAGAAAGAATGAGCAAGATTTTGTTGGTTGGAGACGAGATGGGAAAAGATCTCCAGGCAGAGAATAGGACAGAAGCCCAAAGCAGGTTAGCACACAGGATATCTAGGCAGAATGGGTGAGGGATTATGAACAGTAATAGAAAAGGCTAGGCAGGAAGATCTGAGCCTATAGCACAGAGTTTGAGAAGTCACATGCAGCCTCTGGGACGGTGTGGAGGAGCAAGAGGTAACCACTGATGGTTCTTAAGCAAAAGACTAAGTTCTTATGGAGCAGGGCTCATCTTTCTTGGTCATCTTGTACTCCAGTGCCTGGTATTTGATCCCAACTAATTAATCATTTCAGAATGAATGAACAAATTCTCACTTAGCATTTAAGTGTCCACTGTCCAGCACTGTCAGAGAAAGGCTTTCTGGGAACAGGTAGTGCTACACCTCTGACCATGTACCCCTGGAGAGTAAGAACCATGGTTTCTACATAAAGCCTAACATAACCCTCAATCTACAGCTGGAGCTTAATAAATGCTGCTGGAAAGGACATGAACAATGCCCCTCTCCTTTAGCAACTGGGCTGCTCATCTTGGGGCCCCTGCCTCCAACCCTAATTTCTGCAGGCATCTCAGCTTTCCTGGGCCACCTAATCACCTTCCCTGGCCCAGTATCACCAGACAAGACAGACTTGGAAGAGAACATTTTGACTGCCCTCCTTCCAAACAGCAGGTTCTCCTCCCAACAGGAGTGAACCTGCAGAGCCACCGTCAGTTTCCTGTCTGTCCAGGTAACCGCCTGGTGCCCACAGCCATCTGGCAGCTCTCACTACCCTGCCCAAGAGAGTATGGGGCACCTCCTAACTCTCCGAATGAAGACAGCCCTGGGATACTGTAATGGCACTGACACATCACAAGACATCTTTCCCACTGACTGTGGCCTCACCTTGGATTTGGTCAATGATCCCTCTGAGCCTGCGCTCCACTTCCTGGCGCTTCAGCCGATCCTGCCGCCCGATGAGGACGAGGTTGAGAAGCAGCAGTAGGAACAGTGCAGAGGCATTCACAAGCTCCACCCCGTGGCTGGTGTCAGGACACAGAGGGTAGAGTGTATTTCTGGGGAGCAAGGGGCCCCCCAACCAGCCCCCAGACCCCAAAAAGCTCCTTCCCACTGGTCCCTTCTAAAAAGAGGATCTCATCTGATTCCTGGCCCCAGTCAAGGGACTGAGGTTCTTACACACTCAGGAGCCCGCTATGGGGAGCTCAGCAACATCAGTGAACTCACAGCCCTGAGATGTTCCGAAGAATGGAGTGGGACAGCTGCAGAGGTTGTGGGGCCTTGTTTACCTTCCAGCTGGCTGGCCCCCACAGCAGCCCAGCAGTAGCAGCACCGCCAGCAGCATGAGTGAGGCCCCCGGCCAGTGGAAACAGGAGCAACGGTTACCCAGGTGCAAGAAGCTGCTTCTCCATGCCTCCTAGGGAGCAATGCATGGGGCAGACAGTGAGTACCTTGTCCAGCCCCAATCCAGCACCTCCCCCACCCACAGTCTCCCCAGACGCCATGGTCTGATGCCTTTGACTTTGGCTGGACTCCTACAGAAAGTGGGTTAGGATATCACTTTAAGATGGAAGCCCGACTTCCCTTTGATTTTTCATAAAGTTTCAGTTGAGTCCCCCTGCCCAGAGGGACAGGGCACATCACAGCCCTGAAAAGGGGGAACCCCCCTGCTTCTCTGCCATCCTAGCATGGCTCTAGCCACTCTGAAGAAACTTCACCTTCCACGTGAGACATTTCTTCCGTTCTTTGAGGTGTCCCTCCAACACGGCCTCCAGCTGTTCCTTCAGGACACTGAGGGCCTTCCAGGTGGACAGGCCCAGGGCCAAGGGGGGCTCTCCCTGCAGGGAAGTCAGAGATGCTCAGCATCCCTCCAGGCCCCAGGACCCTGCCCACACCAGCTCTCCATGCCAGGCTGGATCTATTGCTTCTCACTGCCCCTCTTCCTCCTGACTCCTGTTCCCTTCCTCTACCAGCTCTTGCCCCTCAGCCAAATCACCACCAAAAAAAAAAAATCTTTTAGGTGGTACTAGGGTTTTGAAGTCAGGACCTTGCAATTGCACTCTGCCCCTTGAGCCTCCAGCCCTTTTTGCTTTTGGGTTATTATTTTTTAGACAGTTTCATGTTTTTGCCCAGAGTAAGCCTAGACCACAATTCTCCTACCTGTGGCCTCCCTCATAACTGGAACTATAGGCACATACAACTACAACCTGCTTATGGATTGAGATGGGGGCTTGCTAACTTTTTGCCCAGGCTGGCCTTGAACCTTGATCCTCTGATCTCCTAAGTAGCTGGATTACAGGTTACAGGTACAAGCCCCCTTGCCTGGTACAACCAAATTTAAACATTCAAAGACACAGTTCACTATTCTTTAAAGTTTAGAAAGTCAAAACAAAACAAAAAGCTACTTTTCCACTCAGTGTTTTCTAACTCATCTTTCACTTGACTCTCAACCCACTGCATGGGTGGTCCTCCTACTTTTTTCAGGCTGCTTTCACTGCCCGCCCCAGTTTAACACAAGGGTGTCAGTCTTTCAGATTGCATAGACAAGAAAATACACATTTTGTAGCATAAGGAAGGAGAACTAACCTAGAAATGCTAACTTTTCATTGTACCCAGGAAAGACACTAAGGGAAAAAAAAAGAAACAACAAAACAAAACTACCACCTTCCAATACTACCATCTCACAAAAGAGAATCCTGTGACACTCACTATATTAGACAATGCTGCAATTCCACTACACTCCCCTTTCACCACAGCTGGCTGAAATGTGGACAGGACTGATCCCAGATGACATGGGGACCAGGCACGTTATCTTGAGGGACCTCATAGCTGGCCACTCCTTGTTAAAACCCTTGTGCTCCTGTTTCCCTGCTCTTGGACTCTGGCCTTTCTTTACCCTCTGCCTACCCTGCAGCCCATCATTGGGGCAACTTGCCAAATGTTGAATGTTTCCAGGGCGACTGGCCACAGCAGTGGATCCACCCATCACTTACATGCTTACAACTCCCACATTTCACTTCCAGCCTGACCCCGTCCCCCATCTACTGACCTGCCTCACAGCTGCTTCACAGGGAGTGGGAGTCAGTTCATCCCAAATCCCAAACTTGCTCCGGCCCAAGCTGCCAATCTCCTCTCCTGCCACACTACCACCTGCCCAGGTGCCTCTGCAATATCCCAGACTCTGGACTTCCCCTCCCCTTCCCATGACCACTCTTGATCTTTTCCAAACCCTCTGCAGCACCCTAGCTGGGGAAGCATGCCTTCTCAGCTGACCCCCTTTTACCTTTAAATTCCACTCCAGACTCCCACACCTGCCTTGTGAGGTCCTAGGGGACCTACAACATCCCAGCCTCCCCTTGCTATTACTTCTGCAATCCTGCTCCTCCAGCTCACACGCAAATGCCTTTATGTACTTCCTGGCCAATGCTGGCCACCCCAAACAGCTCTTGCTTCTTCAAAGGAGTTCAAATATTACCTCCGCTGGGACAACTCCCTAAACCCAGGCCTGATCTGCAGGGGGAGGTTTGTGTTCTGATGGCACTGAGGCAACCTGGCTCTCAACCTGCATCTCACAGAATTGTGATTCTAGGTCTGCATGCTTGGCTCTCCCACTAGATTGCAAATTCCTGAAAACAGGCATGAATTCTTCTACTTCCACACACCCTCCCCTCTAAACTGCTCAAGACAGTGCCTGGCACACACAAACACAGTAAAACACATACTGAATGAATGAAAGAATACACAAGTAGCTTTACTGACTGATCCTAATGACCCCTTAGTCAGGGGCTGTCAACCCAAAATCTGCAGCAGCAACACCTGGTGCTTTCAAAAAACATGCATGGCCAGGCCCTGTCCTGGACCTACTGAATAGAAACCTCTAGGGTTCATGAACCTGATGTCAGGCTGAATCAGATACACACTTCCCTGGCTGTGGGGTGCTAAGAGAAAGAATGGTCCCAAGAAAGGCAGCACCTGAAGGAGGAGCACATCTTTCCCATGGCCACTGAAGAGCCTGGATGTGAGTTTCCATCAGAAAAAGTTCATGAATGAGAGCTGAGGATCTCCAGAACTGAGGCACCAGGTCCACCGGGGACTTTTGGCCAAGGGCTATGGGGCTGGGATGCCTTGCCCTGGCTGCCTGGACTCCCTGTGCTCCCCCTCCACTCTGATGGCCCCTAAGGTCTGCCCTCCCCGGGGGACTGCACTGGCTTTGCCAACTGCCAGTCTGCATGTCTCTTCTCTGCCTGGCTCCATAGCCACCTTCCCCCTCCTTGGCAACCTGGCCCCAGCTCTAGCAGATTGTACACCTTCACCACTCCAAGGAGTAGCTGGGCCCAAGGGGGAAAGTTCCCAGTGTCACACACCTGGCATCATGGGATGCACCTCAGTGGAGCCCCCAGTGTCACCTACCACCAGCTGCCTAGGCTTCTAGCCCTCAGACTTCCAGCTCCCTTGCCTAAATCTCACCTAATCCTACTCTTCACAGTGGCTTTGATGGATTATGGAGATAAGAGGTACTTCTTCCCAGAGGGGATAAACAGGTTATTTCAGCTCAGAAAGAATAGCCTCTAGGCAGGACCCACCACCCAGCCTGGGTAAGTGCTCTCCTCCAAGCACCTACCTCCCTTCAGTAGGGCCCAAGACAAATGAATGCCAGCTGAGGCTAAGATCTGTCCTTGGTCTCCTAGACATGGAAGGGAAGAGGACTTCAGGAGGGCTCTAAGGGAGGAAGACAAAGGAGAAAAGCAGCCAATGGGCTTTCTGATATCTTCAGGGCTGGGTTACAGCAGGAATGCCTGTTCATCCCCCCATGGGAAGAAGAGGACCTAGGCCCAAGGTAAGAAACCCAGGCCCCTAGCACCTTCCCTCACACTCCCTTTCCTCCACTCTGGCTCAGCCCTCCTGGGTTCCTCTCCACAGCAGCATGTGAGAGTTCCCAGAATAAATATGATGGCTATGCCTTGGCCATGCCTCCAGAAATGACCAAGTGAGAAAACACACTATAGGCAGGAAGGGCTGGCTGGCACAAGAGATGGGGATTGGAAGGGAGAAAGGAAGGACTGGGCAAATGTATAGGGCTGCTGGGTTACCTGCAAGCCTGAACCAAGGATCCCATGGCCAGGAAGGAACAGTTCCCAGCTATGAGGGGTAGTCGGAGTCAGGAAGGTGTCCCTCCTCTAGCTAGGCCTACAGACCTTGGACACTCATCAACTCCCCTGAGCTGTACAGTGGACAGCCTGACCTTTGCTGCCTCCTTCTAGGCAGCTGTACCCAGAGCCCTCTTGCCTGTCCAGCCTCCTCCTGCTTTCTTGCTCTCCCCATCCCAGGTACTCTGCTCCTCTCCAGGTAGGGAAAGCACAAAACGGAGGGTAGCAGATGCTCCTACAGCAGGATGTCTGCAGAGCTCTGGGCATGCATCTGCCCCCGCATGTTGTGTCTGGCCAGGGGCACCAACTCCAGACAGGGGATTAAAGACAGCACAGCAGAGGCAAAACATGCCACTCTGTAATTATATGCTGCCAAAGGGAAGTGCCTGCCTGCACAGGCTGGCACTGTGGTAAGGACCTAGCCTTCTGAGCCAGGCTGCTCTCCATAGGCTTCGCCCAACCAGATCCAACCACCGAGCCTGTTCAGCTCACCCTGCTGTGGTGGGAGGGTCTGAGTTAGGAGTCAAATCTCTGCTTTTCTTAATGGGGCCTCAGCTTTTCTCCACATGACAAAACAGCCAGAGCTTAGGAGCTTGGTGGGAGACTGTCATAGTTTCTGAAGGAGATTCAGAATGAGGTGGTGGGGTGCAGACACTGCTGGCCCTCTCAGCACAGAGTTAGGTATCCTGTTATGACTGGGCACCCTCAGGAGACTACAGCAAGTTCATACTCTCTGAGAAATAAGTAAGAACTTAAGGTGACACTGTCTGAAGTCTCATTTTCTTATCTACCAGGACCAAGAAGGATGAGGAAAAATGTGATGTGTCCTAAGTTGTCCTTAAGTACCCAAAAGTAACAAGAGATTCCTCCTGCTTCCCTAAAGATTCCCACCATACCAGCTGCTGGCATCTCAGAGATGTTTTTGGGGCCAGGAGTGAGGGCTCTACCCCAGAGGGACCAAGAGAGGAAGACTCTGAAGCCTTTCGGGCGGAACCAGCCCACCCACTGTTGTAAACACTTGGACTCCACTGGAGGAAGTGTGAGAATAACTGGAGGCAGAAAGGAAGTCCTGACTCAGGAGAAGCTGGATGTCCATCACAAGCTAGACTTGTACTCTCTGTTCTGGCACCAAAGTGGGTACTGACACGAAGTAGGGATTTGGGGGAACAATGGGGGACTAAAAGAACACTGTCCACCAAATCACAGCCACAGGAATCTGCCACTGAGTAGGACCCAATGTCAAGATACAAAGCTGGGCATCAACCTTCTGAGGGCTGACACACCTGTGCTCTCTGGCACCCACCTCAGCCAGGTTTCTCAGGTGATTCAGCCAGAAGCCACCAGCCCCCATCCCTGTCCTTGCAGAGCTCCTCTGAGGTTTTCTCAGCACAGAAACTGTTTTCCTTCCTACTCCACCTGTTATAAGAGCAACAGAATCAAGACTCATAGGCTCAGGTAGACAGGTTATAAATTTAGATCTTGACCCAAGACCTGGACAACAGACAACCACCAGTTAGAAGTGGCTAGGGCCCTTTCTCTAAGTCCCCTCTTCACAGCTGCCTGGTCAGTGATGGCAGAGAGGAGACCCAAAGCTGGACCACACAATGCCCACGTCATTGAAGCATTGATTGGGCCATTCTCCGTGCTTCTGAATTTGGCCAGACACAGCTGGATGTATCTATAGTCAGAGAAATCAAAGACTGGGCAGAGCTGCATCCTGTTCTTCTTCACTCTTCTAGGCTCACAGTGACCTCAGCCCTTTCACCCACCTTCTTCCCCACCTCCTGCAGTCACCAAGACCTAAAAGGAAAGCATCTCAGCCCTGATTGCTCCTGACTGTTATTAAAAAAAAAAAAAAAAGTCCCTTTGCTGGCCCCAAAAAGGGATGACATGCAGGCCCTGACCATCTATTGCCTGTGAATGGAGCCCTGAGTCCTACCATCCCTCAGTAGGATTCCCTTCTTCTGGGAGGCTCAGGCCCCAGGCCTGCTCTGGGTGACTTGGGCACCTTGCTGACAACCCCAAGACATACTGGCTTTCTGGCTCACTCCCAATTTCCCTCCTGGTTCCCTCATGCACATTCTAGCTACCTCCCACTCTGCATCATCTTCATGACTCCTCTGGCAACAACTAACCCAAAGACACCCTCACTAAGCAAGAAAGGAGACACTGTTAAAAGAATCATGGACGCCAAGCTGGCATACTCACAGTGCTGCATTTGCCCTGCTGGGGCACCCATAATTCTGCCTGCTTGAAGAGCATGGGGCACAACCTGAGGGACAAGCAGTCAGCTACAGCAACTTTCAACACTGCCCTCAAAAAGAGGGAGAGGCAGAACACAGAGAGAGAGAGAGAGAGAGAGAGAGAGAGAGAGAGAGAGAGAGAGAATGAGAGAAGCAGGCCGGAGCGCGTGTGAGCAAGAAGCCGGTGCTGCAGAGAATCAGGATCAGCAGAGCAGAGCAGAGCTTCAATATGCTGATTAATTCAGCCTATTTCCAGTCACGCTGCAGATTCAGGGAGGGAGGAGGAGGAGGTGGCAGCAGACTGCAACAGCAGCTTTGGGAGGGGAGGGAAGGAGGCAGGGAGGGAGGGACAAACAGGAGGGAGGAGAAAGGACAGTTGAGAGGAGAAAAGTTTGTCAGATACTCTGCAAAATGTCCAGGAATTTGGCCCTCTTCAGAGGAGGCCACCGTGGGGTCAGCAGAGGGGTGATGTGCAGGAGAGTATGGACACATAGACAGAGGGACAGATGGATAGACAGGAGAAGCTGCCCAGGGTCTGTGTCCCTGAGGGCAATTTCTGGCATCTAGGAAGACCTGGAGGACATAAATACTAGCTCTCTTCTTGGACTACCAGTCCACTGCCCCAGGTCACTGGATGAGGCTGGAGCCCACTATGGGGGAGCCAATCACCCTTGAGAACTCCTTAATCACTCAAGAGCACAGAGCGGAGCCAACAGTTCTTTCCAGTGAAAGCTGCAAGGAGGGGAGGGAATTGGTGCCTTATTAATAGCAGCACATCCTGTGTAGAGAGGGGGACTGGCCATTGAGAAGATTCCAGCACAACTTCCAGAAGGGCAGAGCAGAAGAAGCTGGCAGAAGGAAGAACCCAGCGGCAGAGGGTAGAGCCAGCTGGAAGGAGGGGCCTCTTAGGATTCCAACACCTTCTCTTCAGGTGGTGTTAGCATCCCACCAACAGCTAATCTATGGAAAGAAGAGCTACATCTAGACATGCCCACCCAAAAGCTGCTGGGACCAGGGGCTGCCTGAGTATGCCTGGGCCCCTCCTTCCAGGCAGAAAGAAACCAGTTAACTGAGGCTCCCACCTTAGCACCTTCTCGAACATCAAGCAGGACCTGGTTGAGTTGGGGCTCCAGTTTGACATAAGGGAAGCTCTCAGCATAGGCCCTGTGGGTGAAGGAGGGGTCAAGGCACTGGAAGAGGATGGGATGGTACACTTCTCTGCTGATGACAGGCCACCCTTAGGATGGGGCTACAACGCCCCAGGGAGTAGAAACAGCCTAACAGGTCCCTTAGCTGGAGATCAGGTTGGAAGCTGAGCATTGTTTCTCCAGGGCCCTCAATCTCCTAGACTACACCATTTCAAGCTGCAGAGAGGGGAAAAGCGAACCTCACAGCACAAGCAGGCCTCTCTCCCTCCCCCTAAATAGCTTGTGCAGCTCCCTGTGGGGCCCCTGCCAAACACACAGCTGAATGGGGACAGAAAGGAGGGGCTGGTTAGTCAGAGGTTAAGGCCAGGAAGTCTCCATAGGGAGCAGGAAAGGGAGGTGGGTGGGGTCAGTTCCATGCTGGTCAATGTGAGAACTGTTAACTGTAGCCAAAGAGGAAGACTCCTGACCCCCAGTCTCCTACTCCATGAGGGCACTGACAGGGTGGGAACCACAAGTCAGTTGACACTCTCCCTGCTCTGTGGCAGGCCCTAAAAGGGACAGCACGAAGGGGCTACCCAGGGTGTTGTACGAGTACCAGCACAGTTCTCTCTCACTTCTGTCCTCTTCCCACACTGCCCCATTCAAGTGATGGGAAAGTACAACCCTGCATCTCAGAAGCAGGAGCCCAGCCCAAGCTGTCATGGCTATAGCACATCCAGCATGGGCTTCAATGGAGGCTGAGAACTGGTGTGGGTCTGAAAGAGAAAGGGGAGGGATGCCAAAAATCAGCCAGCAACAGCCAAACCAATGCTGAGCTGAAGCAACCCAAAGGCCACCTGATTATCAATTGTCACCATGCCAGCTCTTCCCGATCCTACTCCTTCAAGACACCTTCTGACTGTCCTGGCCACAAGATCACCTTTAGAAGCCCAGTGTGCAACTAGAAAGGTCCTCACTTGGGTAGAAACCCTCATTAGGTCTTATTACTGAACTTCTGGTGCTACTGATTCTCAACTAGACTGTCAGCCTCTACAAGCCAGCAGCCAGCATTTCATAGGGTTCTGCCAGCCTAAAGACAGCATTCCATAAATATGGCTGCTGCTGATAGCAATGAGGCTTTCTAGTTTTGGACTCGTCTACCCAGAAAGAGAAAGAAGACAGAGTAATCCCCCAGGAAAAAAAAATGGCCCTAAGAACAACCCAACCAGGGCTCTCATGGCTTCTCCCACAGGCTCGAGGGTAAACCCAGGCCCCTCAGCCACAGAACTTTGTTTCCTCAATATACTACACACTGGCTGAAACCAGAGGACAATACTATTTTCTATTTTGGGGGCATTAAGCCCACCCAGGCAGGCCACTGGGGGCCCTCTCTGGGATTGGGCAGTACATAGCACTTGTGGCTGTTTTAGGCAACAGCCTTGCACCCAGGTTAGGAGAGAGGCAAGTATAGCTTTCCCTTAGTATCAATCGCTGCTAGGATAGATTCTTGCAGAGCAGCCAGACGTGGCTGTGAAGAGGAGGCTGACACATCTGCTGTGAGTTCAAGTCCACAAGCCAGTTGTATAGCTGGTCCAGAGGCACAGGAAGAAACCCTGGAGCTGAACAAGCAGCAGTCATTCAGGCATCACCAGAAGCCCTGTGAGTGGACCCATAGCTCCCTCTCCAAACTTCCCCAAGCTCTCTTTGGCAGGAAGATCACTGTCCAGAAGTTCAAGTCAACAAATATTTATTCAGCCCTTGCTATGTGCCAGGTTCTGGGCTGGCAGCTAGGAATACTGAGATATGGTAGAAGAGACAAATTACTTCCACCTTGATGGTAGAGGTACCATGATTCAAACAGCAGGGTCATCTGGAGGGGAAGGAAGACTTATCTGCAGAGAAGATGTTTCAACTGGGCCTTGAAGAAAGGGTAGAAGGATTTAGCCGGGGAAAGGATGAGAGGATTTTAGAAGGACCAGCCTCAGTATGGTGTATTTTGCTGCGTTCAGAATGACTAGAGGTAAACACTTCTGGAGAGCATAGTGTAGAGGCCTCCTTCACACTGCAGACCTTGGTGTGTGAAGCCACTGACCATTTTTAGGTAGGGAGATTGGGAAGCAGAAATAGAGGTCAACCAGGAGGGTGTGCAGAAGCCAGGCAAGAGACCTTCTCAGGGATAGACTTGGTCATGGGAGAGGAATATTCTGATTGACAAATCTACCTCCCTACAAAGATGGTACATCTGGAGGCAGGACCAATCTTACCAACGGCCTGGACTGCCAGGCTGCTCACCCCAGCTGGCTAAGCAGCTGTGTTTGAAGTCTGATGGCAAGCTCGTCCCTAGCCACAGACAGGGTGCCCAACAGTCCTCAGCACAGCTTGGCAGGTTGGGGCACAGCCCTAGCAAAGAGCAAACAAACTAAATTACACACCCCTGGGCAAGAAGTGGAAAACTGGCCTGGGGCCAACCCAAATCCGAAAGCCTGCTGCTGCGTAGTTGTGTTAATTAATCTGCCCTCCACTTTGTGTCCTTCCCAGCAGACTGCAGTACTGCTCCCTGAGAAGGGGTCAGGGTCATATCCTCCAGGCCTCAGAGCCATGCTCCCTCTTTCACTTTCCATGTAATGCCCCAACATGAGGACCTCCCAACAAATCAGGAAGGGTGTGGGGAGGAAGGAGTTCAACAGAGACAACACCCTGACAATAGGACCCACCAGATGCTTCTCCTTCAGTTCCATGGGCCCAGGGTACTTCAGGCATGCCCAGATGAGTGCAGTCACCCCCAGAAAGAAGATTCCTCCTCAACATTGACAAACCCCAGAGAGTCTGTCACAGCTACAGCATCTGGGGGAAAAGAAGAAAGAAATCACATAAGCCAGGCTGCAGTACTGGGCAGCTAGTGTACAATACAACAGTCTCATCTAAGGCACAGGGTGGAACGGAGGAAAGAACTGCTCCCATGGGCCATCAGTGCCCTGCAGTCTATCCTACAGCAGCGCTGCCCCAAATGCTCAGTTTTTAGATGAGTTCTCCTCTGGCAGGCCAGGAGAGAGAGGACTCCCGAGGTGACTCTGGAGGGTGCAAGCTTTCTCTTTCAACTTTCATCTTCAGAGACACACTGTGTTCTGTTCCATGCGGACTCTGTTAAACACTGGCTTCCAGCAGACGGGAAAAGCCTTGGATTATCAGTGTCTTTTAAAATTCGGGTTAAGGTTAGCATTAAGATCATTTGGAATCTAAATACAACTGGAATGGTCAGGGAGCAGCAGGAAGAGCAGGAGGGAGGATGGAAGGAGAGACACACTCACTGGGCCGCTGCCATCGGGAGTGCACATATGTGTGCCATACTTGCCAGATACACAAGTCCATGGACCCCAATTCTCTCATGCAGATGACAGCAGTTCTCAACAGGAACCTGGGCAGAGGTTCACAAGGATGGACAAACTAGACTGACAACCAGTCTGACAAAAGTCAGCTAGTGTTCTGGAAAATGAAGATTAGCCCAGAGGCTGGGCATAGCTCAATGGTAGAACATGTGTGAGGTCCTAGGTTTGACTCCGAGCACACACACACACACAAAATAAAATAGGCCAACCTCACCACCTGCCCCCACCACCCACACGAGCAGACCCTCACTCTTCCATCCTGGAAGTCAGCACAACTTTCATGGTCTCAGATCAAGGTATGTTTGGGTAGAGTGACACCGAGTAATCCAGTTTGGTGCCAAGTGACTTCTTTTGGTAAGCATTAACCTGCTGACAAGGGCAGTTCTTTCTAGGGCCCAAAGCAAGCCTTGTTAGGAGGAGCCAGTCAGCAGCCCAGGACAGCTGACCCATAAAGGAGTCGTCGAGAAACAACAAGAGACACTGTGTCCAGAAAGTCAGCCAGGAGGCCCAGGTCTGCAGCCACAAGCTCTACTCCAAAATCCCACCAGGCAGCACCAGTGGGAACGTCATTGTCCGCACTGCCAAGTTTCTCCCAATCCCTTCCTTTCAGCCAGGACCTTCAAAGCTAAGCCAGCCCCATAGACAGGGTCACAGACAGACAGTGACGCTGGAAGTGGCCTTGCAAAGCAGTGACATTGGGTCTTTGGCAGCCAACTGAAATGAGATCCTGAGAGGCCAAGTCACTCCTCCCCAAGGCCACTCTCTGTTTCAGGCTGCCCAAGCCCTGTTTACAGCTATGGCTGAGGTCCCCAAGATACCCCATCCCAGCAGGGGCTGGATGAGATAGTTGCCACACAGGGAAAGGCACCAGGAGCCAGATGGGGATTGTGCCTGTTAACATCTTCCACCAAAAGTGAAATAACTCTGTGGCCAGCTGGAACCACAGTAGTGCAGAGGGCAGCCAGGAACATGACATTTTTCTAAGAGTCTCTGTTTTCCCATCATTCCATACAAGGGATTCTGAGAGAGAACTGTTCTTAATGGTCTGACCTGAAACCAAGAGCAGAATCCTTAAAGGGCCAGTTCTGCCTGTGAAAAATACCACAGGCTTCAAAGCCAAATATTCCTGGTTCAAAACCCAGCTCCAACATGTATCAAATGCCAAATTATCTTGGCAAATTATTAGTCCCTCTGAGCCTCTGCATCCTTGCTCTTGAATGGAAATTGTAATACCATTTCACAGAGGTGCTGTGAGAATTATGTAAAATAATATTATTAATGCAGGGGTCTAGTGCGATATTTGGCCCAGAGTTGGTGCTCAATAAATAGTTGCTATTACAAACATTAGCAAAAAAAAAAAAAAAAAGTGAGCCAAGTACCACCTAGATCAAGAATGAGAACTAAAAAGTAATGTGGAAGGAAAGGAGACAGAAGGCATAAACACTGAAAAGAAATAAGCAAAACTGTCTTTATCCACAGACAAGATTAGAGATGAAGAAAATCCCAAGGGGTCTACAAGATACTAGAACAAAGAAAGGTACAAGGTTGCAGGATAAAAGGTTAAAATACAAATATAAATTATATTTTTATATATTATGTAAGGAAATAATAGAAAACAAAAATATAAATAATAGTACAAAAATGCTTAGGGACTACTTTACTAAAAACATATGGAAGGCCTGTAGATGGCTGAGTGAAATTAAACATCTAAACAAATGGAGAGCTATACCATATTCATGGATTGGAAGACTCATTATTAAAACATCAATTATCCCCAGATTTATCTATAGATTTAGTACAATCTCAAACAAAGACACTTTGTAGACACTTCTGCAGAAATTAAAAAGTTGATTCTAAATCTATATGGAAAGGACCTAGAATATGTAAAGCAATTTTGAAGAGAAATACAAAGTTAGAGGACTTACACTGCCTAACTTCAAGACTTAATATATAGCTACAGTAATTAAAATATGTGGTACTTGTGCAAAGAGAGGTATACAAATCAAAGGGACACAACAGAGAATCTGAAATAGACTCACACAAGTTGAAAACAAACTTTGACACTTAGCTCTTACCCTACACAAAAACCAACTCAAAGTGAATTACACATCTAAACATAAAAGCTAACCAGGTACTGTATCCCACACCTATAATCCCAGTACGCTGAGGCAGGAAGATTGCAAGTTCTAGGCCAGTCTGGGCTGCATAGCAAGGTGCTGTCTCAAAAAAACAAACAAAACAAACCCAAAAAACCATAAAAGCTAAAAACTATAAAACTTATAGAGGTAAAGGGGGAGAGGGTTGTACTTTGGGATAGAGATTTCTGAGAAAACACACAAAAAATGAACCATAAAGAAAGCAACTGATAAATTGTTCCATCAAAATAAAAATTAACTTCTATTTTTCAAAAGATGTCAAAAAGAGATGGTTGTAGTGATGCTCATCTGCAATCCCAGCACTTGGGAGGCTACTACAGGAGGATTGCAAATTTGAGACCAAACGTCTCATAGCAAGCCTTTTTTTTTTCAGTATTGGGATCTTGAACTCAGGGCCTACACCTTACCACTCCACCAACCCTTTTTTGTGATGGGTTTTTTCAAAATAGGGTCTCGAGAACTATTTGCTCCGGCTGGCTTCAAACCTGGATCCTCCTGATCTCTGCCTCCTTAGTACCTGGGATTACACTGGTGCCCTGCTCATAGCAAGTCTTATATAGCAAGACCACCCTGTCTCAAAAAAAACAATAAAACAGAAAAAAAAAATCTCATAAAGAAAATTAAAAGACAAATGCAGATCCGGAGAAAATACTAGTAATACATAAATCTCAGTGACTAGAAGAATCCATCTCGCCCAATAAGAAAATAATAAGATGAACAATTCAATTTTTTCTGGGAGTTAGTGCTGGGATTTGAACCCTACACCCTCAGCCTCCCCAGCCCAGAAAAACTGGCAAAGATTCCAGTGGCTCACATCTATAATTCTAGCTACTTGGAAGGCTGAGATTGGAAGGAATGAGGTTAGAGGCCAGCCTAGGCAAATAGTTCAAGAGACCCCCCCCACCACCACCACCAATCTCCAAATAACCAGAGCAAAGTGGACTGGAGGTGTGACTCAATCAGTAAAGTGCTGGCTTTGCAAGTGTGAAGCCCTGAGTTCAAAATCTGAAAATATCCAAATGTCCACTCACAGGGGGAATGGATGAACAAATATGATCTATCCACACAGTGGAATTCTACCCTGTGATAAAACAGAATGAAATACTACTAATATTTCACATAACAGCATAGCTGAATCTCAAAAACATTTGTTGAGTGAAAGCCACCAGACTCAAAAGAGTACCTAGTATATGATTCCATGTACACAAAATTTAGAACAGGAAGAGCATGCACAAGGCCTGGGTTCAATCCCTAGTACCAAAAATAAATAAATAAATAAGTTTAAAATAATAATAATAAAAATAATAAAACTGTAGTGACAACCAGCAGATCAGGGGATGACTGCAGAGAGCACTGGATTGCTCAGTCTCTAGATTGTGAGGTGGTGTTTACATCTGGTGTAGACATTGGTCAAAACTTTGAACTTAAAGGTACATTTTAGCATGTGTAAATTTTGCTTCACAAAGATGATTTTTTTAAAAGGTAGAATCTGACATCCAACTAAGTCAGTTCAACCAACTTCTAAAATGCCTGGCACATGCAAGATTTGGGGGATATAAAACAGAGAGAAGGACAATGAAGGAAAGAAGCCTGTACTAAGTAACTATCATATTTAACACTATGCTAGGTGCTATAGTTTGGACTTGAAGTGTCCCCCAAAGGCCCATGTGTTAAAGGCTTGGTTGCCAGTGGAGCTATTAAAGGTGATAGAACTTTTAGGAGGTGGAACCTATAGGAGGAAGTTAGGTCATTGAGGGTGTACCCTTCAAGGGAATACTGGGACCCTGGCCTTGCTTCCCTTCCACAAGTGAGAAGCCCCCTCTACCAGGTGATTTCACCATGATGTAGGATGCTGCCACATGGTAAAAGGACCATGGACAAAACCTCTGAAACTGTGAGCCAAAATAAACCTTCCTTCTTTTTAAATTGATTATCTTGGGAATTTGCTACAGCAACAGAAAGCTGACTAACACACTAAGCAACCGCATATGCTTAAAAAAGGAATGTAAGAAATGGTTCTTTTTCAGTTTAAAGATAAAGTCTCAAAACAAAAAATCTTCCCCAGAATATTTTTTTCTTTCTCCTCCTTCCTTCCTTCCCTTCTTTCTTTCCTTCATTTTTCTTTTTTTTTTAATCAAGGCTAGCCTCAAACTCACAATCCTCCTGCCTTAGCCTCCCAAGCAGTTGGGGCTATAGGTATGAGCTCCAGAGAGATTTTTAATATAGCCAGTTGGGGGCTTTATGGAAAAAACTAAAATTCAAGTTGGAACTGAAGCACTAAGCAGGAATTATCCCTAGCAGG